TAAACATCGCGTCTCTATACTTCTAGGTTGTGTACAAACTCTTCAATCACCATGTCATAATTGTTTATAAGAAAATATTCACGATAAGCTGCAAATTGAGGACTTAATTAAACCGCTATCTTCTGTAAACATGACACTAACGACCGCTATTTATAGGAGCCTGAGGAACAAGGAACACCTTCAATATACACTCTGATTAAAAGGCAACCCGATAAGTACATACAGACATTCACTTTATTCCTACCACGATATACCTATTATTTTATACCAATCATTTACGTGCCTATTCGACTTGCATAAAATATAGATTTATTTTATGTATTATGTAAATTAAGAACAAATGGGTAAAAATACACACAATGAGTGATGCATAATTTTTGTGTTTTTCATAAAATATTATGATTCTTTGATGCAAGTGTTTATTTTTGACGCAAGAGGTTGTTACACCCTACCTTACGCACGAAAAATTAAATAAACAATAATAAGATTTTCACGATGTTCTCATTTTCGAAAACATCGATAAATAAGTAAATAGAACCAAAACCACCCCTATTCTCAGGTGACGTCACACCTTCGCCGGAGGTGGGCTGTAGGCATGCGCGGGAAAACCGCCATTTTGTTTTCACTCGGCACTCTCCGTCGCTATTCGGGTAACATCGGGGGGTGAATTCATGCGAATACTTTCTTTGCCATGCAAAAATGTAGCTCGGCTCGGCTTTCCAGGTGCGGATTTTTGCCCTCAGGGGGGTAGAAACATTTATAATGTAGGGTTATCCTATGACGTGCGGTATCAACTGCTACGTAGTTACTTTCATCGTCTCTACTAAGTATCATAACTATCACAATTTTAATTTCATCGTCTCTATTTAGAACATAACACAATTTATTAATTCAACCTACTTGATGTCAGGTATCAAGTCTGACACCAGGGGCAGGGTCATGGTTATGACCGCAAGTGTTTATTAAAAATATGTTATGTGTCACAGTTTAGTGTTACTCATTTTATCTATTGTTTTACACAGACAGACTCTACAAAAAAAGTAATCAGGAAAGCGTGAGAAGTAAAAGTAAAAATTGGGCATTTTTTTTTCGTAGATCGTTTAATAAATACTTTCAGTAGGTATTCATGGAAACGCCCGAAATCAAAACACCCACTTGATTGAAAATGTTCTGACAGATTGAATAAACAAACTCTTCATCTACCTACATGTTTACAAGTGAGTGGGTATTAAAAATATTGATTAAGAGTTAATAAACCTCGTTATTTATAGGACAGGGTCTGTGCTGGGAGCTCCCTGGTCTTAGTATCGGACGCCCGGTTCACGACAAGTTCTAGACCTCTAAACTATTTCTCAAAATGCATTAAACTTTATAAAATTTGCTTTTGCCCGCAGATTCGCTCGCTAGAAAGTAATAATATAGAAGGTTTATGTCACACAACAGAAATAATGTAGCTCTCTACCAGTTAAATACTTTACAAAATCGGTTCAGTAGTTCCAGACTCTACTTACAAACAAACTATTTTTTTTGCGATTGGAATGATTGATTTGATCCTTAATAAAGATCCAGGGTTTACGACACGATTCCAAAGATTACAAGACCTTTAGTAGAGTCGCGGTAAACGGTAACTTATACCAGAATAAGACAAAAAGGGCAGTTTAAAAAAAAAACCTACCTAGCTGTGGGAAGTGTGGGATGTGTGTAAGATTAAGTGACTAGTTAAATCGTACTTAGTTCAAAAGAATGTTTTTTCGAAACGAGAAACATTCGCTATAAGTTTCATGAAAATACTCGTATGTTGCAATAGTTCGGTATCAAAAGGCCCGCGTCATTTCTATTTTTACTCAGCTTTAGGTCATACGAAAGGTCTAAAGTTGAACCTAAAACTGTTTTGCGTGACTCTATTATTGTCATCGAGGGAAAGCCATGATAATGACTTTATACAAATATTAATCCACGTTATAATAGTACCTAATTGCAGGTCGTGAATTTGCTATCTATTGGTAAATAGGATGGGTTTTGTAGAAAATAATATAGGTACCAAACCATACCAGTCAATGTTATGTAATGAAAAACTTAGAACTTTATGTAGTGTTTCTACTGACTTTGTCGTAAAACCTTATCTTCATAATGTTAGCTTACATAAGGTCTTATTCTCGCAGAGACATCTCGTTTTTTGTAGGATCCTTCCTTAGTAACGTATTTCAAATATATAGTTACAATATCCCGAACCCGGTGACCATTCCAATTTTTTTTTGGTCCTGCTATGCTGGATCCAGCAAAACAGGGTTACCCTGGGCCTAAAGGCTTAGTATTCTCAATACACCCCTTCCAATCATTTACAGCGAGAGAACGGTCCACTGCAGCTTCGCAATCAGAGTCCAATTACTGTTCCCTCTGCAACTTTGATCGTTGTCCAGTGGGCGGGTAGTTACCCCTGCGGGGTGCATATTGCACGATTTTCTAATTAGTGCCTAGTGCCTACTAGCTTTTGCCTGCAGCTTTGCCCGCATGAAATTCAATTAGTCACAGATTATTGCAAATTATTGTGATGTAATACTTATAAACGACAGTAAACTTGCATCAAAATCCGTGCATTAACGTAATTTACAAACTTTCGCGATTCAAACTCACAGCTACTAAGTACTCTGATAAAGGTAACTTTTTGGATAGTAAGTAGTATTTACCTGACGTCAGCCTTCTCATCAAGTCTGCGTGCTGTGATCAATTATTGATATTTGATATAATTTTAGTAAGTTGAATCATATTATCATCATTATCATTTCAGCCATAGGACGCCCACTGCTGTAGGTTAAATGATCAATTTTAACATTCGCGTTGCACATAATATAACGTAAGTGCGCCTATTAACGACCCCCCAAAATTTGTATCCTATTACCGCCCTATTTTTCTTTCTTTCATAAAAGACATAATAACAGGTTCCAGAAAACACGTTACTTAAAAAATATCTAGATATGTTTATTGACTATCNATATGTTCAAGGAAATGCTTGCGCACAGAGTATTTGAACACAAACTTGCTGGGAGCCTGCCTAATGTTCTCAGGAAGAGCGTTCCAAAGGCGAATAGATTGGAGAAGGAATGAGTTAGAGAGGAAACCAGTGCGGTGGGATGGGGTAGAAAGAAGAAGTTTGTTGGAGGAACGAAGTTGCCTTACGTGAGTTGAACTTAGAAGAGTATACTGAGATTTCAGATAGGAAGGAGCATTAGGGTCGTTTAAGATGGTAAAAAGTGTAGTGAGAATTCTGGCATTACGCCGTAGAGGAACAGGTAGCCATTTGAGCTCAGATCGGTAGGAGGAGATGTGGTCATACATACGTAGACAAAATATGAACCGGATACAATTGTTGAGAAGGCGGTCCAGTTTGTTAAGGAGAACTTGATTAAGGTCCGGATAACACACATCAGCATAATCTATGAGCGGGAAAATTAGTAACAGTTTAGCAAGACTTCTCGGTGCTGTCTAGGAGAGTCGCTCATGCTGTGGCTGATATTATAGCGACTGCTGAGCTGCTTAAAGGTCAGTAAGAATCACCACCACAAGCAACCACCGCAATCTAATTTGTATATAGCGCCATCTGTTGATCAGTTTCGTAAAACTTCTTGGAGCTGTCTAGGAGGGTCGATCATATTGTGGCTGATATAATAGCCGCTGCTGAACTCCTGAAAGGTCAGTGAGAGTCACCACTGTTTAGATTAGAAACAGCTCCATCTGTTGGTCAGTTTAGCAACACTTCTACAAGCAGTCTAGACGCGTGGTGCATACTGTGGCTGATATTATAGCAGCTGCGGAACTGCTGAAAGGTCAGTTAGAGTCACCACCACAAGCAACCACCGCAATCTAATTTGAATATAGCGCCATCTGTTGGTCAGTTTAGCAAAACTTCCCGGAGCTGTCTAGACGTGTAGCCCACGCTGTGGCTGATATCATAGCGGCTGCGGAACTTCTTAAAGGTCAGTGAGAGTCACCACCGCAAGCTAATTTAGAGATAGCGCCATCTATTGTCAGTTTAGCAAGGCTTCTCGGAGCTATCTAGGAGGGGGTCGCTCATGCTGTGGCTGATATCATAGCGGCTGCAGAGCTGCTTAAAGGTCAGTGAAAGTTACCACCGCAAGCTAATTTAGAAATAGCGCCATCTATTGGTCAGTTTAGGAACTATTCACTTGTTACAAAGCAGCATCGTCAGGTCATTTAGCCTCCACTACAGAAACATAACTCTCAAAGTCACTAAAGGCAAATAAAGGAATTGCCTATATTTTTTTGACTTACATGGTCGTTAATATTCAAATCGAAACAATGCCTACACTCCCCACGCTAGCCAGACGGCTTGGGAAGACCTGATGTTCGCATGATTATCCATTCACCTCTTACAACATCCACGGGAAGAGTAAGAGTGGTCCTCCTAAACCACTCAGTCATAACGCTTAAAGTCCCTTGTCACATCATTAATCAGATCTGTCAATATCAATATTCTATAGAGACTTTTGTAAACCCTTGAAAAAGAGGCTGACAATGGTGAACGAGTTTCTTCTGCTTCTTCTCAGCACTGGCCCATTTATTGTCCCGGAGCAGTGGTAGGGTTAAAGTAAGACTAGGACGTTTATTTATTTTATTTATTTGATCACCAACAAGGTTACATTGTAGAAGAAAAAGTTACAAAAACGACACTTGTTAAATGCAAACTTAATTAAAGGCGAAAACAACATGCATTGAATTTTTTCAAAGTTAAAATTTCTTTATTTGTATAGACTATTATAGTGCTTACAAATCGTCAAATATTTTGCTCTTAAGGAGCCTCTACATGTCTCATAATCTTTTTACCCTACCAGCGCTTCGAGACCAACATTTGGCAAGTGCTGAGAAGAAGCGCCGCAACAAACTCAGTCACCACTGTCTGCTATTGTCATTAGATACTAAAGCAAAAAGCATATCAGCAGAAAATAAAAACCTTAATGACGTATGACTTTTGTCCCCAACAGGATCGGACTGGGTGGACCCAGCAGACCCGACTGTGATAGCGGAAAGCGAGCTACTGGGTGCGGCGGCGTCCATCGACGCGGCCGCGAGGAAACTGGATGCGTTGAGGCCGCGACGACCGGCTGTTGTGCAGGTGAGAATGTGGTTGTTTATCTGGCAGATAAAGTTGCTGATAGACTGTCAGAGAGTTATCTGGTGGAGAAATTCAATTTTTTTAGGTGTTTGATGTACCACTTGTATGCAGGGTTAATTTATCTGGTAGATAAAGTGGCTGATAGGCTGTCAGAGAGTTATCTGGTGGAGAAACTTTATTTTGGGTGCTTGATTCACCACTTGCTGATAGAGTACTTGATAGCTTATTGGGAACTTATCTGAACGATAAACTCCAACTTTTTTTAGACTGTTTCACCATTTGCTGTTAAACCTACCTGATAGACTATTTTAGGAATTTATCTACCTCATAAATAAAATTGCACCATTTGGTTTAATTGATATGAAAGAATAAAAAGACATGTGGAAGATACAGTACTTAGCTAGTAATAGAAGCAGCAACCTTCAAGACAGCGTTATCTGAAACTTTAAGACTATCTGAAACTATCAGGAACTGGTGAAATTGACTTATATTATGTAAAATCTCATTATTATGTTTTCCATTTATTGTAATAATTACGCAATCAAAACCTCAAAAAAAAATACAGAACATTGTCACATTGTGACTGAAAAATGACAGAAGAACATCAAAAAAGAAGAAAGAAGCCAGACAGAAGAGTTACAAAGAACAGAAGAACGTCACAGAAGAATAAAGAAGAAAGAAGTGAACTTAAAGCCGCGCGTCGCTGAGATATGTTTGATATTCTTGGTTGTTTTAATATCACCCAGGAATCAAACATATTACACAGGGACCGTGGCAATGTCTTCAGGGGAGAATAAGAAGAAATGAAGAAAGAAAGAAGATACCAGTTTACTATGTTTTTGATGTACTCGTATATTGTTGAATTTAATATGACAGCAGACGGTTTTTGCTCAGGTACATAATTTAGGACTGTTATTTTGCATGTAAAAATAATCAATTCATAACTTCAATCATTTAACTGCTAAGCTAAATGGGTATCATGATGTACAGGATAATATGATAACCAAATCTTGTAAACATTAATGAAATGCAATAAACACATTTTAACTATTTATTTATTTAAAAATCTTGGAAAAGAGGTTAACAATAGTGATTTAGTTTCTTGCGCTGCTTCTTCTCAGAACTACTGTCCCGAAGCAGTGGTAGGGTTAATGCTGCAGTGTAACCGTATAAAAGTAACGTAGACATCTTTTGTTACCGACACTCAATTTTGACACCTCAATTTAGTAGTATGAGGAATAGAGTTATTGTATGATGTCAACTCATACAACTAGAAGCAATTGGTCACGAAAAGTGTCTATGTCTACACAGAGAGTGGTTAATTCAAAAGTTTCTACGTTAGTCTCTTTCACACAATGTATTTTGTTACTGAAATAAAGGACTTTTGACTAAAAGACACTATTTTCGACAGGAGACCGATGACAGCCTGAACTTCGATGAGATGATCCTGCAAGCGGCCAAATCCATCATCGCTGCTACGTCAGCTCTTGTACGCGCCGCATCCGCCGCACAGAGGGAGCTTATCGACCAGGTGAGCACAGGACAGAGTAGAATAGAAGGTGTCAAAACAGGGTGATCAACAGGTGCCCCCCATAAAGGCGCCTTGGTCGTTTCTAGTACCCAAGGCGCCGACCACTATGCGGCAGAGGGAACACCCCAGGTTTTTAGCGGGTTCGAGTCCCACGTAACCTGCCGTCCCCCGGCGGTAGGTATGGATGGGCCATTTTCCTGGGTAAAAAAGGGTGATCACCAGGTCATTTAAGGTCATATTCTGTGGTTGACTGGCAGATAATGCCACCTGGCATTAAGTCAGACTGCATAAGATTGGGAATTCATTTATGGGGAAATGTATTAAATTATTTAATAAATTACCACAAACTGTTGTAGAACTACCCATTCATAAATTCAAAGCACATATTAAAAGTACCTTAATGAAAAAGGGCTACTATAAAGTCGATGATTATTTAAAAGATAAAAATGTTTGGGATGCGTAACTGCCTAGCTCGAATAAATATTTATAACTATGTATTATGAAAACCTGTAAACCTTTGAAAAAGAGGCTGACAATAGTGTCTGAGTTTCTTGCGCTGCTTCTTCTCAGCACTGGCCCATTTATTGTCCTGAAGCTGTGGTAGGGTTATTAATACTGGGACGTGTAAAAGTGCTTTTTTAAAGCCTACTTACAGAAATAAATGAGTTTTACTGAGTCCGCCACCGTACAGTTGTATGTGCAAAAGTGTAAATAAATAAATAAAATATCAGACTTGTCAACTCGGAAAGGGATCAACACCTTATTGCCTTTCTCGAGCTATCATTGCCTTTCGCGAGCTGTCATCGCCTTTCGCGCGCTGTCAACCGGGAGGCGAGGCGTTTACGTTACGGTGCGGATAGTTTACGTTGCAGTATGGATTTTCACACAAAGAATAGTGACCGCCTCGAGTTGATACGGTTACAATCCGTTTCCGGTTTGATAAGTGTGCTTCGTCCTCATGTCTTCGATACAGAAACACGTTCCTCTCCAATCTGCCAGAGATTGAAGGATTTGGCCTACATTCCCCACCTTACAACGCTAGCCGGATGGTTTGGAGAGATGATGATGATCAAATTACAGATTGATAAAACTTGACACCGTCTATAGCTGCTATCAAGCTGTAGATCGTGGCTTCACAGTGAATAATCCCGAACAGTTTTGATGTACAGCTTGACCGACCGCCAATAAAAGCCCTACCAGTGAAGGTCAAGTCGGTCCCGGGGGAAAGTTAAACTGTCATTGGACCCGCAACGAAATTAATCAGAAGAACATAGGAGGAGTTCGAACTTCATTGCATAGCGGATGACAGGTGACAACAGACAACAGCATATCAGAATTTATACATTATTGTTGGAAACTCGCCTCTATTCTAACTGCTTTAGACCCCACAGTGTTTAGTTTGACATGCCACTGTCTGTACTTATTTACATTAGTGTGATTTTTTAATATTTCTTTCTATTCCCTAGGGCAAAGTAGCGCGTCGTCCGGCAGCGTCGTCCGACGACGGTCAGTGGTCCGAAGGACTGGTATCCGCCGCAAGACTGGTAGCCGCCGCTGCCCATGCATTAGTAGAAGCAGCCAATGCCTTGGTCCAGGGCGCAGCCTCTGAAGAGCGCCTTATATCTAGCGCGAGACAGGTGGCTGCGTCTACAGCTCAACTGCTGGTGGCTTGCAAGGTGAGTCCTGCATCGCGGTGACGAAGTTTTTTTCCCGATCCTTATATAGCTCCGTACAATGAGGTTGAGTCAGACCAAAGTCGAGTGTCGACCCTTGACAACTGCTGTCAGTTAGCTAACTGAGGTGTTTCTCATGGGTTTCCTCGCTCTCTATAGCTTTTCTCTCTTTCTTTACCAATAGAATGGAGTGAGATAGCAAGACTTGAGGGTGTCCGTTAGGGAAAGTGCCCTTGCTAGGTAGGAAAGTGCCCTGTCAGTTAGGGTATTAGGTTGTCTTTCTCATGGGTTTTCTCGCTCCCTGTAGCTTTTCTCTCTTTCTTTACAAATAGGACAGAGAGAGATGGCAAGACTGAGGATTTTCGTTAGGGAAAATGCCTCCCGGCTTTAGTATCTTGCTAAGTAGGAGAACTCTTCTTGGAAAACTGTCTTACTGAAGTTAGGCTTTTCTGGGTAGTCTTATGAATTTCCTCGCACCCTGTAGCTTCTCTCTTTCTTTAACAATAGGACAGAGGGAGATAACAAGACACGAGGGTTTGCTTTAGGGAGAATGCCTCTTTCCTTAAGTATCTTGCTAGGTAGGCAAACTTCGGTAGGCAGTGGTCACTATTAGGTCTCCTAGTGGTAGTTCTCATGCCTTCGTGGAGGCAGCTAATGCCTTGGTCCAGGGCGCAGCCTCTGAGGAGCGCCTGATATCCAGCGCGAGACAGGTGGCCGCGTCTACAGCTCAACTTCTGGTGGCTTGCAAGGTGAGTCCTGAATCGCGGTGACGAAGTTTTTTTTCCGATCCTTATATGTATAGCTCCGTACAATCTGGTTGAGTCAGACCAAAGTCGAGTGTCGACCCTTGAAAACTGCTGTCAGTTAGGTTACTGTGGTCTTGCTCATGGGTTTCCTCTCTCTCTCTATAGCTTTTCTCTCTTTCTTTACCAATAGGACAGAGAGAGATAGTAAGACTTGAGGTTTTCCGTTGGGGAAAATGCCTTTGCTAGCTAGGTAGGTATAAACCTTAAAAAAGCAGCGGTCAGTAGCTAAAGTCCCCTGGTGGTAGCTTCCTCGTGGAGGCAGCCAATGCCTTGGTCCAGGGCGCAGCCTCCGAAGAGCGCCTGATATCCAGCGCGAGACAGGTGGCTGCGTCTACAGCTCAACTTCTGGTGGCTTGCAAGGTGAGTGGGCCATTCCTGAATCGCGGTGACGAAGTTTTTTTCCCAATCCTTATATAGCTCCGTACAATGTGGTTGAGTCAGACCTTCCGTCCCCCGGACACGGCCTGAGCCGAGGTCCGAGCCTACCGTGGCGCCCTCAGGCCGCGTCCGTAGTCCCCTCGATCGGGCCCACTAGAGTGAGCCCGCCGTAGGCTGGACTTTGGTCCAACACCGCGGTGGGCAACCCTCTAGTTGGGTTCGCCACTGATCGGGCGCCTTATGCGCTCGGTACGGCCCGATCGCGAACGTCGGTCTGCGACCGACGATCGCCAAACGGCTAGAGTGCCTTCTGTACTCGCCACTCTGCCCGGTGAAGCTGGAAAAGCTCCTCAAGCTACCAGCGCGCGTCCCTTCAAAAAAAAATAAAAAAAAATAAAAAAAATTGAGTCAGACCAAAGTCGAGTGTCGACCCTTGAAAATGCTGTCAGTTATGTTACTGTGGTCTTTCTCATGAGTTTTCTCGCTCTCTGTAGCTTTTCTCTCTTTCTTTACCAAGAGGACAGAGAGAGATAGCAAGACTTGAAGGTGTCCGTTAGGGAAAGTGCCCTTGCTAGGTAGGTATAAACCTTGGTAGGCAGCGATCAGTAGCTAAAGTCCCCTGGTGGTTTTTTCCTCGTGGAGGCAGCTAATGCCTTGGTCCAGGGCGCAGCCTCCGAAGAGCGCCAGATATCCAGCGCGAGACAGGTGGCTGCGTCTACAGCTCAACTTCTGGTGGCTTGCAAGGTGAGTCCTGAATCGCGGTGACGAAGTTTTTTTCCCGATCCTTATATAGCTCCGTACAATGTGGGAAAGTCAGACCAAAGTCGGCCCTTGACAACTGCTGTACTGCAGTTAGGTTACTGTGGTCTTTCTTACGGGATTGGTCGTTCCCTGTAGCTTTTCTCTCTTTCTTTACCAATAGGACAGAGAGAGAAGCAAGACTTGAGGGTTTCCGTTAGGGAAAATGCCCTTGCTAGGTAGGTAAACCTTGGTAGGCAGCGGTCAGTAGCTAAAGTACCCTGGTGGTAGCTTCCTCGTGGAGGCAGCCAATGCCTTGGGCGCAGCATCTGAAGAGCGCCAGATATCCAGCGCGAGACAGGTGGCTGCGTCTACAGCTCAACTACTGGTGGCTTGCAAGGTGAGTGGGCCATTCCTGAATCGCGGTGACGAAGTTTATTTTCCGATCCTTATACAAAATAAATTTTATAAAATCCGATTTGTATGAAAATTAAAATAATTAAAATGAAGATATCAATTTTCTGACTTCACCATACCATTTATATGACCATGTTAACATGGGCTAGTGTCGGCTCATATACCCATTTACCTAACACCCTGTATAGCTCCGTACAATCTGGTTCAGTCAGACCAAAGTCGACCCCTGATACCTATATGGATGTTAGCTAGGGTGCTATGGTTAGTCTTATGGGTTTCCTCCCTTGCTGTTTCCTCACTTGATGTTTCCTCACTTTCTTACTCAGTACCTGAAAGGGAGAAAGCACGATGTAGAGACTAGGGGGAAAGGTTTTCCTTAGGGACCTTGGTAAGCTAAGGCCGTCATCAGTAAGATCCTACAGTATCCACCCTCGTGAAAGCAGCTCCCTGTTGCCTTCTTTTTCTTTACCAATAGGACAGAGGGTGATAGCAAGAGTAAAGGGTAATTAGTATCAATTAAGACTACATTTGGCTGAAACGAACGAAGACTGTATTATATTTAATCCTATTTCTTAAATGCAACACTAAAACTCCATCTATCCCCCAGGTGAAAGCCGACCCCAGTTCGGAATCGACCCGACGACTGCAGGCGGCCGGCGCGGAAGTCATCCGCTCCACCGACGGGCTCGTGCGAGCCGCCAGGGACGCGATACATTGCGAGGAAGAACGTAGCCTGGTCCTCAACAGAAGAATGGTGGGCGGCATCGCGCAGGAGATTGATGCCAGGTGAGATATCCGGCTCGAAGGACCATATATTACATGAGTGACGCTTTACACTGCGAGGAGGAGCGCAGCCTGGTCCTCAATAGACGAATGGTGGGCGGCATCGCGCAGGAGATCGACGCCAGGTGAGATATCCGGCTCGAAGGACAATAAATTAAATAAGTGACGCTTTACACTGCAAGAAGGAGCGCAGCCTGGTCCTCAATAGGAGGATGGTCGGCGGCATTGCGCAGGAGATTGATGCCAAGTGAGATATCTGGCTCGAAGGACTTAAGTTAAATAAGTGATTATAGTATCACTGCGAGGAAGATCGTATTCTGCCCCCCTAACAGGAGAATAGTGGGTGGGATCGCGCAGGAAATTGTTGCAGGGCAAATCCGGCTTGAAGGACCATAAAAACGACGGGTTCGTGCGAATGGTGCTTGATGCTATACACTGTAAGTAAGAGTGAAGCTTGGTGCTTTACAGGAGAATGGTGATTGCATAGGAAATCGATATTAATTAAGATCCGGTTCGAAGGACCATAACTATATGAAAAATATCATTGAAAACTGTTTGCTTTCTAACGTTGTAACCCTTTAACTAGTATAGAGAAAAATATTTTTCATTAGTTTTGAACCTCATGTTTTCAAATCAAATCAAATATATTTATTTTGCGAACATGGGTAAATGTAGGTATTACAAGTATTTTAGTATCTCCATCTTCCACCTTTTTTTTTTCTCAATAAGGTTCAAAATGTGGTGGCAACAATCCTGCCACTACCAGGTAAAGGTTTAACAACCGAAAGGCCATAATAAATAACTCAGTTTCACCTTCATATTCCCTGCAGGTCTGAAGTGCTACGAATCGAAAAAGAATTGGAAGAGGCTCGCGGTCGCCTCACCGCCATCCGCCAAGCCAAGTACAAGCTGCGCGGCGACACTGACACTGACACCGATACGGAGCATTTGGACGCTTCCGATGTTCGCCAGAGGTGAGTTGAAGACATTGAAGACGAGGGAAGTCGAACCTTAATTTTGAACTCCTCCTATGTTCTTCTGATTAATTTCGTTGTGGGTCCAATGACAGTTTAACTTTCCCCCGGGACAAACTTGACCTTCATTGGTTGGGTTTTTGTGGCGGTCAAGCTGTAGATCCTGGCTACACAGGAGTTGCAGTGGTGGGAACGAGAGGTGGGAATAGTCCCGTTGAAGACGTCCACTGTTGGACAAAGCCTCTGCCACAGGTATTTTGACATCAACTGGCCTGGACGCGGTGTCCATAGGTCAGTCACAAAAAAACTAACGCCCGTATTCACAAACATTACTATGAGGTCTCACAGTGCCCGTGGAACCAATCACAGAGTTCTATCTCAACGCTGTGCGTTCGATTTGCTGCTTCACTTAAGCAAGCATCGTTTGTAAATACGGGCGTAAGCTAATATGATATTTTCAAAAGAAATTCAATTGCTAGACAAAGGCTATAGGCGAAAGGGAGGGCTAAGGAATTCACGACAACCGATCTTGTGCTATAGTTCCAAAATACTGGACTGTCCTATCGATGACATTGACAGCAGGGCGCCACCGTCAATACCGGATCGCTGGTTCCGATTTTTGCCATGTTGGAAACCATATAGTTGAACGATGGTAGCGCCCCCCTGTCATTGAGTTTGGTGGGACAGTTCAGCGTGGGTCATCTATACCCGCGTCGGTTAACTTAGTGGAAAACCTGCCTACGTCTCGGATAAAATAAAGAATATTTGCTATTAAATTACCTGTTAAACTTGATTTCTTTTTGTAAAAATAACAATACTAGTTCTCCAACTCAATGAGCAGCTGTATTTGGCGTTACTGTCGAGTTTCAAGACTGCATTATTTACAGGATTTACTTTACACTTGACTTCCAAATAACGTAATTTCCAATTCTCTTTCTAGATTCAAAACACCAAACAGCAGTTTCGCGAACACAACTTACAGTCCAAACAGTACATACTCCAACCAGAACACCACAAACCTCACCACCACCACCCACAACTTATCCCAGAACATATCCAACTTAAACCAGTCCATCCACGGCTACCAACCCCCAAAGTCACCTTACGCACCATCCCCTACTAGCCCTAACGCTCACAGCGCGAACGGATACCAGAATGTATACAGCCAGAGGGACGAAAAGCAGTATACTGTTCAGAGCCCGACCTTCACGAGTTTCAGGCCTCAGGAAGAACCGAAGCAGAATTACGAAGGATTTACCACACGGTAAGTTATTGGGAAGCTTGTAGGATGTGGTATAGTCAGCGTCTAATAGTTTGTGACACCCAAAGCAGGCAATTCTTCTGGTCGTGTCGACAAAAAACCTACAGTGTCAGCCCAAAACTCCGCCACAAGAATGGCGCTGTCAGTAGCCTTAATTAAATCTTCCTGCGTGTACTTGTTTAAGCACGCAGGGCACGACATCATGTCCTTCGTCGACTGGAGAACAAAACCACACTTGCACTCCATGTGGGCAATCAGTTCGCAACACGTTTTTGTTACAATGAGGGTTTTCGCGAATGAAAGATCCGCTAGATGGCGGGACGTGGATGTGGGGTCTGACTGCTGCGTGATTGGTGGATTTTGACATAATATCTGTCAATGTCATGTCAAAAATAACCAATCATGCAGCATTTGGACCTCGCGTCTACGTATTGCCATCTGCCGAATTTTTTATTAGCGAAAACCCTCATTGAAATAATGTTATGTTGTCAACTAAGTATTTGGCCACTTTGGGTGTCACGAACTATTTGACGCTGACTGTACGTTCATATTGCAATGTGAACGTTAACACGTTGGTCTTTTGAAAAAGCAAAATGATTGTTATATTATTATGTCTCTCACGCTCGGCAGGATTCAAATATGATTGAGAAAGATGGAGTAAGTTATGATATAAAGTTTTCAAAAAGGAGGAACTATTCTACAAATCAAGAGTGTACACTTGCAAAATGGTTTTATATCATAACTCACTCCATCTTTCTCACTCATATTCGAATCCTACTGAGAGTGAGAGAGACAGAACAAAATCCTTTTGGTTTGGTCGAATCATTCTAAAGATCAACGTGTATTATGGTATATAATAGCTAACGCTGTAGCGTGCTAACCGGTGTTTTTGGAAGTGGATAGTTAGTGTGTAAATAACGATCTGAAATAACATGGTTCGCTATTCTCTCATTTGTTGCGGGTTCGAATCTTGCAAGGGGCAGTTTTAAAATGAATGAATCATTTTATTTCACAGTGTTCTAAATTATTAAACAATAGAGTTTTAATTCAATCATGACTGATCCATCACACTCAAAAATTGTATCTTGAAAACCAAAACTACAAAAGACTGATTTAAAATTACCCACCTACTAGAAATAAGGAATTAGATATTAAATATCTTATACCAACGTCTGAAGAACGTTTATGATGACTGTTGTTTATGTTGACGATGTTTATGACACTGATGACAGGACAGATCTTATCTTATTTTCTATCATTTTTGAGTGCGATCACAAAACAATCTATGATTTCTTAAACCCTACGAACAAAACCAATTTAAGCAATCACTAAAGACTATTCAAGGACCTCTAGGCAGTTCCTAAATCCTATCATTACTTTAAATCCCGAAAATGATAGCGTGTGGGGTTTTAAAAAATCATTTTTAAGTCCGGTCGCCGAGCACGCAGAATTTCGTCCAATGACTCCAAGCTACCCGTAATTATATTGCTATCGCGCTCGCACACTCACTGCGGGTGCCGATAAGGATGGGTAGCTTGGGGTCATTGGACGAAATTCTACGTGCTTGGCGACCGGACTATAGCTAATAATATAATAAATTGGGGCTTGCCCTCGTATCTAACTAAATCTTTCAGCTTCTCTAATCTAAATTTTTCTTTGCACGCCGCCGGACCACAGATGATCGACTAAAACTAAACTAAATGTGCCTTCCTACATCACTTATGACTTGTGCCTACTTTGGAACTTGTATTTATATATATATTTACTGTTAAGAGTTACTTTAAGATATTCATTGAGATATATTTGGAGGTTCGTTCAAAATTGTTAGAACATTTTCGTACGAGATGTTTATGAACTGTTTTACTAAAAATTTGTAGTAAAGAAGATGGATATTATAATTTTAATACACCTTTCAAATAAGAAGTTTGTACACTAAATTTCATAACAGCTCTATTTCTCATGAGCAATATTCAATATTAATTTATGCATCTTCTTTATTTATGTTTTTATATTCTCTAGTGAAATGTGTTTTTATTATAATAATAATGTTAGTTTTATCAAAAATGTCTCATACGAAATATCATCAAATTATTCATTAAAGAACCACGACAAGGGCATGGGTGCCGCTTGTACTATATAATAACATGTTTCTTCTTGTATGTTTGTATTAATATACCACTGGGGCATTGCCACTATTGTAATACAGGTTTTCAACATTTTATATATGAAAAAGCTACAAAATATATAAATATGTTTATGTATTATGGTCAAAGAATTATTAGTGAAGTGCCTACACGCAATCGTGCCTAAATGTTTTAAAGTATATTTTAAAGATGTCTAGATATTATTATATTTAATATTGTTGAAGACTTGAACGTGCCTAGAACCGCAGACCGGTCTCTTCCACGCTTCCGCCTAGAATAATGTCTGTGTCTAGAATTAATATTAGTTGTAATCTTGTGTTTCGATTACAGCCAAGACTCCAGTAATGACAGAACGATGATGCGTAATAAGTAAGTCGTCCGCTAAGCGGAGGCGTTGGTTTGTCATATAGATTTGCTGATATATCTATGGAAATACATTTAATTGTATCAAATCTTGCACAAAATTATCACTCATGTCAATGCTACACAGGCAAACTAAGCTCTATTATGAAAATAAAGTTATAATGGCAATTTTTTTACTTTATATTTGCAATACCAAATTCACACAAGTACATTATCACACTTCATAACACAGAAAAATATTTTTTAAACGCTACTCGTCTAGTTGAGAAATACATCTTTTTGCCATCCATAATTATGTCAAAAACAAAACAAGCTCTTTATAAACACACTTCAAACAAAAGTAGTTACAATACTATTAATTTTTTAAGAATACTCTAAAATAGCAGAAATTGTTAGCTTGTAAAATTATTTTACTCTAATAATAGAGCTTACAGAATCTTATTGTTATTGAGAATCTTCGCATGATATAAAAAGTTCATCTATATAACAAACCACCGAGTATGCTTCCCGCGCTTCCCCGCGATGTGTACAAAGCGTGGCTTCCCCCGCGCGTTTCACAGCCCGAATTATCGTTCTGTACATATTTTTCTTGCCGTTTTAATGTGTTTTTTATATTTTAATCAACAGCTTTACTTCCACTGTAACCTGATAAAAACCCTGGACTGAGTCTATTCTAACTTGTGAGAGTTGATAAATGGATGTTAGGGATCCTTTAACTTATTAAATTAATTAACAATGTAGTGTAGTTGTTAATACTGTAGTTGTTGTTACCACTAAATTCTAAAAACAATGATGCAGCTAGATTTGAAATCTCAATTCTCAATCTAAGATTATATTACTTTTACAAACCTAAATTCACCCATGCAATAATATTTCTCTAATTCTGTATTCTTCTATACACCACAGTAGATTCTGAATCTAGCTTCTTTATATTTAATCAGTTTCTAAAATGGTATTAGCTGTAGCATGTCTTAAAACTGTAGCCTACTAAACACCCTTTTAAAATCCAAAACATTCTTCCAAGTATTCAATTTCCAATTCGAAACCAAACAAAAAATGTTAACCATTTGTCATAGCTGGGCACCGTTAATCAAATAGTTAACTTCGTTAATCGTTAAAACGTTAATAAAAAAATTAACTTCGTTAAACGTTAAAACGTTACATTTAGCAATGTTTAACGCAAGTTAACGTTAATCGTTAATCCGTTAACACATGATAATAAAACGAAAAAACTAATTGTATGCAAGGTTCAAATATTTTTTAGTAACAACTGCATTTCAGAATAAAAGCTTGTTTTTAAAAAAGTTTTATAATAAATAAAAACAATATAAAAAAATCATTATGTAGACAAAAGCAGTCCATAGTTTGGAATAGACTTTTTATTATTATAATTTTATTTTACAATCTCAATCTCAGAGCCTTGGTTTAATTCGTCGTCTCAGCCAAATGACGTCCACTGCTGGACAAAGGCCTCCCCCAAGGTATTCCGCAATGAACGGTCCTGCGCTGCCCGCATCCAGGCTCNCCACCTAGTAGGAGGCCTGCCCACGCTACGTCTTCCAGCCCGTGGTCGCCACTCGAGAACTTTCCTGCCCCAACGGCCATCGTCTCTACGAGCTATGTGCCCCGCCCACTGCCACTTGATTTTAGCAATTCTGCGAGCTATGTCGGTTACTTTGGTTCTCCTGCGGATCTCCTCATTTCTGATTCGATCACGCAGGGAAACTCCGAATATAGCCCGCTCCATCGCCCTTTGGGTGACCTTGAGCCTTCTTATGAGGCCCATAGTAAGCGACCACGTCTCAGATCCGTATACCATCACTGGCAACACACATTGGTCGAATACTTTCGACTTGAGACACTGCGGTATTTCGGACGTGAGTATATGGCGAAGCTTCCCGAACGCTGCCCATCCGAGTTGGATTCGACGATTGACCTCTTTCTCGAAGTTGGACCTACCTAACTGAACTGTTTGTCCCAGGTATACATAATTGTCAACAAATTCGAGTGTAGAACCTTCAGAGGAGTGGGTGCAACATTGGTTTAATTACAATACAATTTAGCACCAAAGTGCTCGAAAAAACAAATCCAACAAACCCAAACTCGATCAGTCTCCACCGTTTCGTTTAGGAATTCCTATGGCCACCTCCTGACTCCATCATCAGGACCCTGGACATCATATAGTACTAAAGTGCTCGAAAAGATTAATCCAACGAACCCAAATTCGATGCGATTCCGCCGTTTCATTTAGGAGTTCCTATGGCCACCTCCTGACTCCATCATCAGACCAGCGTAATGGTACCATAACGTTGCATTTTCATCGTACTTACATAAATACCTCAGCTCAATCGGTTGAGGAGAACTGGTCTTAAATTCAGTTGCAAGATTTGTCCCACACATACTAACAAGTGAAGTCAATATAAAGCTTGTAAATAAGTAGGTAAATAAAAAAAGCATTTTTATATCGTTTCGTTCTGGTTACAAAAACGAAAGCTCTGGAAGCCCGAAAATACTTGTCAGAACGCGTTTTTCTAGTGTTTTTCAGCGTGCCTGCTGTATCTTTTTGGCAAATAGTAGGTACTGGATTAACGATTAACGGACTTAGGATAATTTAACGGAAGTTAACGAGTCCGTTAACATTTTTTAAAATTAACTTAAAAGTTAATCCGTTAATAGAAATGTTAACTTCGTTAATTAACGATTAACGGATTAACGAGTTAATGCCCAGCTATGCCATTTGTCAACTCTCACCAAACCTAATCTCTAACTTGCATGCGGTTAGCAGCAGCATGGATGCGAGCATTGTAGTCAAGTCGTTACACCTACCGGAAGTGCGCACGGCCAAACTGGTCAGCGAGCCGGAGACCGTGCAGTATAGAGCCGAGCGGGTTAACTACCGCACCGAAAGACCGCCGCCGCCGCCGCCCAGACGAGTCTCGCTACAAAAGTATGAGGACATCGCTAGATCATGAGGGGTTCGTCTATCTATCTATGCACAGGGGTAGGCCATCCGGTTCATCCATTGAAGATGTCGACTGGTCAGATTCGTAAAGGTTATCATGTCATCAATGCACTCCCACTTGTCTAAATGTCGTGATTTCAAAGCTCATTAAAGCACCTCAAAGTAGAGAGAAAGGCATTGTTACTTCACCGATCCATTTGTCACTACACTTTCACTTTGTAAATGTGTTTCCTAGCCTGGAATACTATCCATTGGCCGTACAAATGTTCACAAGCAATGCACGTAGTCCGTACACATTTTCACAAGCGTGCACTCATTGTTTTCAAAAATCAATTTTGTTCACATTTAAGTGTTTGAAGACTGCACGTTATATGTGTCATTTCACGCCCCTTGAATGCTACTCACTCAGACATTTGAGTGCACCCATTACAATATGCATCGCAATGATTTAAATAAAGCAAATACCTACATTTGCTTTTATTTCTCATCTTTCGGTCATTGTTTTCGATGAAGTACTTGTATACCATTTAGCTTCATTAAAATGCAATAAATTGATCTTGATCAGTCGAATCTTTTTTTTTTTTTTCATTTTTGTATTGACAGAAAGCATCAAGACATCTTGGACGAATTCCAAGCAGTTTAAATGTCTAAATACACAATAGAACATCACACCATCAACACACAACACCATCGCTATGTGAATATCTTTTAAAACCAACTAATTCTTCTTCTTTCCTTACTAAATACTAAAGTTAATGCATGAGCATGTGGTTTTGGTGTCTTCAACCGTCAAGATTTTAAAATAAATACATTAAAAACAAAAAATATTAATGAACTAATCAACAAGTAACATTTCCAGTTACGAGACTCGTCTGTACGACACGCCACGCCCCGTCAACGAGTACAAAAGGACTGAGGAAGAACAGAAGTACGAGTCTAGCCAATACCAATACACCAAAGAGAAATACGGATACGATGCCCCCAAAGCGACTCCGATGAGCCCTAAGTTCAACGCGAGAGAGCTGAAATTTGACGACAAACCCGAACCGATATATTCTTCTCTTAAAAAGCCTTCCACTCCAAAATCTCCCTTCGACGGTGTTGGACAAACCTTCTCTGAACATCAGGTCTCGACAGAAGCCATCCCTGGTGGCACCAAACACTCAGAATTCTCCGTCAAAAGCGAATCCTACCAAAGCTATCCAAAGACGGAGTACATTAAAACAGAATCGCGTCAAGAAACCAAGTCTCCGTTCACTACTTCGACGCCCGCCAAAGACTTCGATTACCCCAAAACATCCACTGAACTGGTCAAAGCTGCAACCCCAGACTATGACAGGATATCGTCCCCGTATGGAAAGGAGACGCACAGCTATGGCGGCCCGAACTATATGGAAGAAACCACCACCGAAGTAAAAGAAATTCCGAACGGAACGCAAAAGATCACCACCACCAAAATATACAGTTCGTCGCCGGTTAACATCACGAGCACAAACACGAAATACGAACCAATAAAACTGGAAGGCATCGACGAACTATCGAAATCATTCGACAACGACTCGCGTTACAGCACCTTAGACTCTAGGTTCAACACTTTAGAGTCCAAAATGAGTTCTGACACCAGTCGCTCCTTCATGAGACCCTCGGAGTTCCAATCGTCGGACTACCAATCGACGACTAATGTCACTAAAGTCAAAAAACCGGATTTGTCCAAAGAAATCGACAGCTTAGACAAGAAATTGTCTAAACAGACTATAACATCGGAGACAATTGAAAGAAAGTCAGTTATGACCAGTTCACATAAGTCGGAGACGAGTTCGACCGTCACCAAAAAATTCGGCAACTTTTAAGGTATTTGTTGGTTCAAATGTTGGCCCAACGTTGGGCGTGTGTGGCTTCTCACGGCTGTCAAATTGACGCTTGCATTTGTGCGTTGGACGATGTGTCTTATGATGTTAAGCTTAAAGTGTAGTTTTCAATGCACGTTTAGCTGTAGTTTGACATTAACGTATATTCTTGCGTCTTGTTGATTTAAGTCTCGAAAATATTTTAGTCCTATAATATTATTTTAAGTTGTATCTCAGTACAAAATATGAAATCGTCAGTTCAATTCATCATTAAGCCATAATGGTGCTTGCCATAAACAACAGCTGGTTTTTATTGAAACATATTTTTATACAATATTTTACTAAGTTTAAACATTGCATTTACATTAAGTATAGTATAGTAAAATGTCAGAAATAATTCGCAAGGATATACGTTCAGTTAGTGGATATAAATGATCTGCGGTGCTAAATAGTTTTTATTTATTATTTATATGTATAATATAATATTATTATGTAGTAGAGAACGCAGTGCCTACGATTGGCCTTAACTAAAGAGTATGTTCGATTTTAACAATTATATTTGAAGTTAAAATTTTTGTGAATTTTATACGGATTTATTAAGACCTGGAGCCACCGATATTTATTTATACAAAAAATATAATTTATCGTCTACAAACGATTTAATAATGACGATAATGATTGAATTGAAGTATAATAATAAAATAAAAAGTATAAACTCTAAAAATTGTGGCTACTTTGGTAGACCAAAGTAGTTAGAACTATGCTTGCCAAATCAACTCAACTTTTAAACACTTATATAATTTAATGCTACTTATCTGCAACTTACTTTTGTTCCTACTATAAAATTAATAGTTGAAACCATTTTTTTGTACGAAAGACTGATTTGTATTTCGTTATTGGATCTGACCTCCATCTATTAGCACAGCAATCCATTCACCTCTGTCAGTTGAACAGGGATGTAAAGCTAAAATATTATAATACTTTGCAAAATTTATACACACTTCAGAAAGTCTTCTTTCTTCTTTAGTTCTTCATTTAACACAAGATTCAAACAAATATAGTTGTAATTTGGCACGCATAGTGTTAAACGAATCACAAAGTGCTAACCCCGTTGGGGACCTTATTCCTGATGCCTTTCTTAAAAATATATATTTACTTATGATATTGTTGGACATTCTTATGCCTTATGTGTAGTAAGTCTACGGCTAGGAGCTTATCAATCCAAACTCACTTTACATAGGTAATAAGTAAACGAACACTTATGAATAAGTATTTTTAAAATATGACTAACATAAAAAGATAGTAACTACTGATATTATATTGTTTCGTTGTCTTATGTACAAACATCAATAAAATATATCTAATTTGGTTTGTGAACCATTTTCAAGGCACTACAAATAGTAAGTTTGTGACATTTATATAAACTCTATATTTTTTTGTAAAGTGTATGGATTCATAAGTTCCTAACTATAAAGTTTGCCGAGCGTGCCATTAAAAAAAAGTTTATTTATTTAAATATCGTGCCTTCAAATAATTAATCGTAAATGAAATCTCCGTGGGGTATATACAAGTGACTAAAAAGAAACTGTGTATTAAATTGTCAATTCAAGCGGTGACTGATTGACATTTCAAATACACAAACTATTTATTAATGAACTGGATTTATATTTAAATATAAATTATATTGCTTGTTATATACTCCAAATGTATAATTGTACGAAATATGTGCCATCGACCGCCATGGTTAATAATACGTTGTATATAAACATACTTGTAGTTAAGTATATTGTAGTAGTGATCGTTTGGTGCAATGTCTATGAAACTAAACTTTTAACCATTTACCCACTAATGTACTTTTAGATTGTATACATACTTATATATTTAATTGTACTAAATTTTTATAACAACTTATAACATGTAACAATTGATACGTAGAAAAAATATAAAATTAACAATGTTTAAAAAACGCACGTACATTGTTCCGTTTTTTGAACGATTGTCTTAATTTTATACAATTATTTATACGTTTAATTAGCGTTGTAGTAATCTCAAATTATTTGAAATAACGTAATACTTATATTTGGGTTTTGTCGAATGTATTAAGTGTGTTTTTCTTTTTATAGCACGATTGTAACCGTGACGTCGACTGAAGTAGCCTGAACTTCAAGCTAAATACATTTTAATGTATAAATTACACGAAAATATATAAACAAAATTTAGATATATGAAGTGCCTTAGTTTTTTCGGCTTGAAAAATATATGTTTCGAGTTTTTATACATTATTTTGATTTATTGTATAGAGATGCCCGCGTAAGCGATTCGTCCACTGAAGGTATTGTAACACCAATTGAAATAGAGTAGAATATTATTATACATAGTTGTATGTAGCTTGTAATATAGGTATAGTATGGCTATATTAATATTTACTATTCGCCCTTACGTATAAAACATCTAAACAATACAAGTGAATATAAATGAGCAGAATAATGTAGTAAAAGAATTATATACAATCTTAGATTTGCAGATCTCTAAAGTCAGCTTAGATATTGGCAACTATATAAATATAATAAATTATTAAGTACTTAAGGGTGTTTAAATGGGCTCTAACGTGTCTTAATGTGCTGTAACTTGATGTTTTATATAATGGAAAATGTATGGTTCTCGTAGTACTAATATACTATTATATTATATAAATATTCAATGTAGTTTTTGATACATATAACTAGAATAAGAATTTATGAATTACATTTACTGTCAATATTTGAAAACCAAATAAAATTACTAATCATTCATTTATATTATAATATTCTTATGTCTCGACTTCGATTTATTTTTGATTATTAATTAATTATTGATTTTGTTAATATTTTTTTGAGATTTTATTCGGTTCGGTGCAAGAAAACTTTTGTTGGGGCATTGTACGGTCCGTATGACTATATTTGTATGTAATAAACTTGACTAATATAATTTTGTTGTTTTATTCATTAGACTCGAAAACTTCTTCATTAATAATTAAAAGAAAGTTATGTTTTTATTGCGTCTTTCAAAGACAGTAAGAACTCAAAAATACTTATTACATAACTCAAATGAAACAACCAGTGCTTTGCATTGCGTGTAATACAACTTATAATAATATGAAACATACAAAACTTCCAGATTCGAACAAAATAACATGACGTTTACAACAACAGACCCACCCAGCCTGCTGTAGTGTGCTTGGAAATACCTCCGCCACTTAATAACGTCTATCAATATTACACTATATTGGAAAGCAATATTGATATGCGGTCCTCTGACTCAAAAATGTAATTCAACAGTTCTAACACAACCTCAAATTCAGACCAAATTGCAATAAGACCAATCACAATTTGAATCCATTCGAGGCTGTGAATAAATTAAATTCACAAATATTATTTAAAAATTATATCAAGAAAACATTCAAGTATGCTGAGGCTCATAAGTGCAGTAAGTGAGGTTTCTTACAATATTATAATAACGAGATTNAACAAACATAGAAAAAAAAAAAAAAAAAAAAACATACGGGTCGAATTGAGAACCTCCTCCTTTTTTGAAGTCGGTTGATTACTACTAGGTCGTGGCCTAACTATAGTGTACATAGTCACCATTTAAAAATATGCTTTCGTTTATCTGTTTTAAAGCTCAGTTTAAGGATATTGTAGCAACTTCTAATATAATTTATTTAATTTAGTTATTCATTCATTAAATATTTACCTAATAAAATAGGAAATGAATCCTATTAACTATACTATTTCATTATATTCAAATACCTTTATGTATAAGCGCTTTTAATATATTAAAGAATTTTGAAGCACGCTGAATTAGAAACATTCAAAAATATTTACAACAACTTACTTATCCCGTCCATGTTTAAAAAATTACTACATTAAAACCACTTTAATGTTATGTTCTTTAAATGTTTCTATTTTACTTAAGTATTAATTCTATGCAGAAGAGTAGGAATAAGAAAAGTTCAACACAGGTAGGTAAAATTAACAACTTTTATTTAATAGTGTTTATTTCCAACAAAGATCATTCCAAACCGCTGATTATTAGATGGATCTGAAACATAAACAATTGAAAACACCCTAATGAGTATGAAATTCAGACCTGTAATTTTAAACTACACTGACCTGATGAAGTAAGTAATTATACTTTAAAATTTCATTTTTCTAAGCTATAGAAGTTACTGATTTATAGCAAATCTTATCAGCTTTCAGACTAAGTATAGTAAACTATTAAATTCGGCTTTAGTTTTTCAACTTTTCAATGAAAGTGAAGATCTAATCATTTGTGCAACAAAATATTGAATGGTTTTAATACCCTCTTGCCTCGACCATAAACTCGACTCTAGCAACGGATGTAAGCAATTTATGGACCAACCCAGTTGTTTATTTCAAGCAATCAAATTGTAAAAATAAGCCTGATTAATAAAATACGCCTGTAAATATTAAAAGTGAAAACTAAATACTTCCACAACGTACAATTCACGTTACCGTATTACAAAGTGTATCATAACTATAATGTAGAAGATTAGCTGATTTTACGATAAAATCATTCAGATAAGTTCGTAACTAATTTCTTAATTGCGGACTACTTAATATGCACTTATATTTTTTTATTTCAAATTCGTATAGACTACAATTAGATAACACACTATAGATAAAGATCGTCTATATAAATAAATAGTTACAGATCAGGCGCGGATCCTTTGTCAAAAATTGTTGTGAAAATCGAACAAGTGTGGAGGGGGTGACAGCCTATCGATCTCAATAGACAGTGAAAGTATGACATAAGGTTGGTATTTCCATCGTGCTCACTACAAAGGATCTGCGCCTGCTTCAGAATCAGAACAAAATCTTCTTTCTTCATGATGTAATCTTCTTTCTTCTAATGTTGAGTGTTGCAAAGTAGCGAGGTCTTCCAGCCGTGAGATACCTGTAGAGACGAGCTTCTGATTTTGTCTTAACTACAAAAGCCCGGATCTACAGGGTAGATCACGAATGTGCCAATAGGTTTCTTCTTTCTTCATTAAATTCTTTCTTCATTATCTTCTTTCTTCATTATCTTCTATCTTCATGTACAGTCATCAACCTCAAGTGCAAAATGTAAGCATTGTGAAAATTCTAGACTTAGGCTGGATTGCACCATCTTGGTTTAACAGTAACAGTAACTATATTAATGAAAGATTTAATGAAGGCTCCTGACAACGCCATTCTTGTGGCGGAGTTTTGGGCCGACGCTGTGTAAGTTTGTTGTCGACACGACAAGAAGAAGTAACTATAACAATAACCAGTATTTTGTATCGAATTTGACAGTTTTTGACATCTGTTAAAGTCAAAGTAAGATGGTGCAACTCAGCCTTGGTATACGAGTAACTTTACAAAAAAATAGTGTTCCTACATTTATCAAAATTACAAAACACTCTAACTCCTAAGGCTGGGTTGCACTCCCTTATTTTAACCGTGACTATAACAATAACCGGTGTATTTTTCATGGAGTTTGACAGATTTTTGACGTATGTCAAAGTTAAAGTAAGATGGTGCAACCAAGCCTAACTAATAGTTTTCAAACTAAGTATGCAAATCATTTAAATAATTATTTTCATTGATACTTTTAATAGTATACATTATTTGACTAGTAAATAAGGATTGAATACAATATGAGTATTTATCGACTAATATAACCAAATTCTTGCCATGCGTTGATTAAAATTTAAAAAAATTAATGTTGGTTTAAGTTCTGACTGATTAGTATTAGCAGAAAAATAGACCAATTCATTAAGAAATGGAAAACAAAATAACACTAAAAAAGTCTACATCTGAATTTGCTCCTAAAACTTCATTTCCAAGCTTCTATCTTCTATTTTCTTTGTTCCAACTTTCTTGCAATCCCCGCTCTTCTTGTTACATTAGGTTTCAACTTCTACTTCTTTGGAACAGCGTTCCACCGCAGTTTTTATCAGCCCGGACCTGAAACTTGTAGACAGTTTGAATTAACTTTTTTACCGCGATAGCTTTTTGTTTAACTTGTAGGATGTCCTGCATTTTTTTTTCAACAAAAAAGAGTTTTGTGTTTAAAAATGTAAACTGTATCAACATTTTTAGCTGCTAGAAGGCTGGAAGTAACTTTTAGTTTAGAACATAGGGACTTTCTGCGAAATATTGAACGATGTTTGAAAATAGGTGTTTAAATCACACTTTTGACTCTATTTATTCTGAGTCTAATTTTATTTCTTCGAAGATATATTATGTATAATTTTTTTACAACTTCATTATGATTTTATGCGGCTATACAGCGTGGGGAGTGCAGGCTCAATCCTATATTCAACTCTGTTTATTTAAAACAATTTAAGGGGTCATGCAGTAGAGACTGAATGACCTATGGATGATGATGTGAATGATTAGGCCTTCAGGTTACTTGTTAAATAAGTATTTTTTTAAATGTAAGTTCAAGATTTAGAACAATTTTCTTAAACCTCTAAATGAAAGTTCATAACTATTCTAGTATCGAATATTCATCTTTATCTAACTGCATAAGCAGCATTGATAGCACCAGCACACGCATACCTAGCATAAGTTTAACACGTATGCTACCATCTAGATATCAATAACAATACTGATACAAGCATTTAATATCGCCCGTAATGTAAGCAATTAACATGACAGGACGTTAATAACCGCGTTTAATATGAAAATCTTGTTAAGGCGACAACGACGCCATCTATAATTTATTACACGCAAACATCACGTCCTAGCTTTGTTAATTACACTGGGATTGGGTGAGACAGTTTCAGATTTAGGACAACATTTGTAACTTCGTTGGTCTGTGTATGAATTTGTATACTTGTGATTGATAAACTAGTTAACTCATTCAGTCTTAAACTTAACTTTTCAATGTGTGGAAAAGGATGGAAAGAGACACTAGTTGAATTTTAGGACAAACCTAAATCCTATATTGTAGGTATATTTCTTCTTTCTTACTGCTTATTATGAAAATATGAATTAATATTGGAGCAATTGGCGTTTAGTTTAAATGTTTAGTGAAACAAACGATTTTCTAAATATGCTTGGGAAATCTTCAGGCGAAGTATGCTGAAATTGCTTTTTTTAAGAAAGACTATAAAAATACTTCTACATAATAAAATTGAAAACTATCTAATAAAAATACGAGTACATATTTGAAATCCATTCTATCGTCAAATTAGATTATGGTTTTTATTAGAAGCTACAGAATAGGTACATTTAAACCCTGCAACCTCTGCCCTCCATTTATCGGAACGTTATCACTCTTACCCTACTCGCAGATTCAATTTACCGCCAACAATACAACACTCAGAGCTAGCATGACGAGGAATCACAAATCAGAGGCATCGGCACCCGAGGGAACCACAAAAAAATAATCTCGGCAATCCCGCAAATCATGGCCACCATTGTATTCCCATAATGTAGTGGAGGAAAACGCTCCGCAAAAAGACCCGCTTAATTGCACGGGGAGGAACTCTGAAAGGAGGTGGCATTGTTTCCGTGCCTTTGTGGGCCCTGACTCATCAATTCTTCAGATTGACGGAACATTCCCGAACAACGATTGAGTTCCGCGATGTTCCGCGGACCNGCAGTGCTAGTGCGAATGTCCAGTGTACTAGTGCAAGTGACCATGTGTATGCTAAAGTGAAAAAAGTGAAATTACCAAATTCTTTTAATTTTAGTGTTGTTGAATAGAGACTATAAGAATTGAATTTTTAAGTTTACCATGTTATTATTATCACCTTGTAAATTGCACCAATTTATTGTTTTATCATCTTGTATCACCTTGCACCCTCATTTGCTTATTCTTTCTCCCTCGGGAATATGTACGAAGTACAGTGCATTCAACTCGCCCGTAAGCGCGCGGTCAGCATTTACCAATCTGACCCAATTTTAACCTTTTCATTATTTTAATATCTTTAAGTTAGTTCGCGTTCGGTTACCATCGCCGCGTGTACTCAGCATACCATTTAACCATTTTACGAATATACCAAGTTTAACCAATTTTGACGTTTTATATTATTTCATATTTATTAATTTGTTGGACTTACACCCGACAGTCGTGTTAGTTACACCACTTATAACTCAAGAACGGCTGAACCGATTTAGCTGAAAATTGTCAGGGAGGTAGTTTAGAGCCAGGAGAAGGACATAGGATACTTTTTATCCCGTTCAAAATTTTAAAAAAATTCTGCTTAATTATTGCCATTAAGGCGGAACAAAGTTCGCCGGGTCAGCTAGTATAAAATAAAATATAATAAACATCGGAAGATCAATCCAACTATCCCAGTTATTTTTCTATCAGTCTAACTTTAAGAGAGGCTCAAAATAAACGCACTTTCGTTTCGTAGTCCAACTGTCTTCTGTGCGTCAAAATCGAGATTCCAAAAATGTACAGAGATATGAGTTCCCCCTCCAGCTAAAGAAGAAATGTTCAGCCTGTACTCTACGAGGCTGCTTAGCCGTCAACCACGTCTTACCTGCCTTCCTTTAAATCACAAAAAATGCAACTACACTCGCGAGCAAAAATATGGAATCACTCTATTTATTCCGAGCGATCATAATTCATAAGAACTAAATGACTAAAAGAAGATCAATAAATATGGTACCATTTTAAAGGTGATATTATAATCTTAAAATTGATACCATAGATACATACAATACATAGTCATTCAGTTCTTAAGACCGCTCGGAACACAAAGGGGTAATAGGCTTGTTGCCTAAAAAAATTTTTTTAGTCCGTAATGTTTAATATCAAAAAATATTGGACACATATAATTTTATTTGTCAATCTTACAAATAATTACATAGTTATGGTGCGTTGAAGTTGCGCACGACGTCACAACGTGCGGCATTTTTAAGCAAGCGTTGACGTCACAGGCCTCTTCTTATGAACTTTGGGGCGCTTTATCTCTTTAAATTTTCATTAGTTTGAAAAAGTGAAAAATACGTGTAGAGTATTTTTTGATAAGTTATCTGACGGACTAATTAAAACTCTTGCTTTTTGACCCAGGCAACATCCCCATTCCATACTTTTGCTCGTAACTATATTATGTTCATATTTGTATTCAAAGTGAAAACCCAATTTCAAATGCTTCACTTTTACAGGGCATATGTTAAAGCCGAGTTGCACCACCTAACTTTAACCGCAACTGTAACGATAACCGGTGTTTTTGTATAGCGTTTTACAGTTTGTTAAAGTAAGATGGTGTAACCCAGCCTTAGTTACACACCATAATGTGTTATTTACAGACACAGAGCTGCCAAAAGCCACCAGTACCTCTGCGCTGAGCGGCGCAGGAGTGCTGCGGCTCTTCAACAAGGTCGGCGAGACCGTCAACAAGATCACCTACAGAATGGACGAGTCCGACCCGGTGAGAAACACTATTTTTCTATGGCCATTCGCAATTTATAGTGATAGTAGATAGAAAGATAGATAATTTGTCTGTTTGTAAACACTTTAACAATTAAAAATATAATAGCATATAACAATAGTTTGCACTTCTTCAGGCATCTCCCTTCTCATCTTTCTCTTTTCTTTTGTAATGTACTTACCTACCTATTTTTATATGGCGGAAGAATTGTTTTATGTAGTGAGCAAATTATGCGTCTCCTTGACAAATAGCCCTATACCTATACTGTAGCGGTAGTAAACCACACATTAAGGATTCGCTAAGGGACGCTGAAGGGATTGTGGCTCCAAGGAGAGCTAATAACCAAACCCGACGAGTGTTGAACGTACACTGATTTATTGAATTCACCAATATTGTAACGCATAGTGACGAGCAATGACGTAAAGCTAACTTAGCTAAATTTAAACTAGGTCAAGTAAGAAATGTACAATTTTTATGTGCGGTTAGCCCGTACATCTTGCCAATCAGAGAAGAAAAAAGGACAAATCGCTTAAAATGATACAAAGTAATATGCTAAGTCAGAAGCTAGTTTGTACATTAAGCTCAAAAAGATATGCTAGGTGAAAACATTGATAGAAACGCTTAGGAACTTCAAAATTATGCTAGTTAATAACATTGATATAAAAACAATTGATAAGATGCTTAAGAAGTTATGAAATACGTAAAGATTTGTAATAAAATAGAATTACATAAGAGTTTAAATAGTGAACTTAGTGTCCATAATATTGTCCAGTAAATAAATAGCACTTAATCGGATGACTCAATTATTTCCCCGAGGGATTCACAAGGAATAGAGATCGACACGGACCTCGGGGGCTTAGGAGGCGCCGAGCCTCTGTCAACACTTAACACGCCCATGCTCACTGATTTACGCAATTCACTACACTGAGGTTGCACTTCTTGTTCACTAGACACACACTGCCGCTCGATGTTCACCGGATGTCCCCTCCTAAGGACAGCTGGATGTCTCGAAAGCTGCATGCGCCGAGACCTTTTCCTTCGGACTCGAAGAAAGATTGCCACTAGCGCTGCTATCAGAAGTACTACAACTATTCCATAGCTGATTGAGTACTGGTGGATGTCATGGACGCTGAGATCCGATGCTGATTCTTGCTTTACCACATTTAATTNCTGGATGTCTCGAAAGCTGCACGCGCCGAGACCTTCGGACTCGAAGAAAGATTGCCACTAGCGCTGCTATCAGAAGTACTACAACTATTCCATAGCTGATTGAGTACTGGTGGATGTCATGGACGCTGAGATCCGATGCTGATTCTTGCTTTACCACATTTAATTCATCCATTATCTCATGATAAGCTTGCTGGTGACTTTCTGTAGTAAGATCGCTAATTGTTGAGGTGTTTATCAGTTTGTTGAGAATTGATATCTTTGGGGCTTCGATATTTAAGTCTATATTTACCTTTTTTACAAAGTCATTATGAGCATATATCGTAAATGAGTCTCCCTTGAGAGTGCAACCCCTTTTTTACAAAGTCATTATGAGCATATATCGTAAATGAGTCTCCCTTGAGAGTGCAACCTTGACCTATATCGAGAAGGCCGTTGCCCGCTATTGTGCTGACTGTCATACCAGCTGGACAAAATGTGCGAATGTTGCACTCGTGGCAACATGAGTACAACCAGACATTCTGTAGGTGTAACTTGATCCACCTATTGTTACAAGGAGCTTGCTCGTACATACAGGGCGAAGTTATTTTTCCTGCATCTATTATACTTAGGTTACATAAATTTTGCTTGAGATCTAAATCATAAATAGGTTTATCTAAAGAGCATAGCATTCTCTCTTCAGATGCATGAAGACACGTTTGCAGATCATGTTCAGTTAAAAATATAACTGCTTCTTTTCTTAGATTAAACGCTAGGTAAGGGTAAGTAGGTACAGTCAGGTAGGAAACTGCTTCTGTGTTGCGTGGAACGGTGATAATCTTATCAAGCTCGTAGATATCGTTATTGACCAGTGGGACCTTAATCTCGATGATAAGGTATTTTTTGTAGACCTTGGCGAATACCTTAAGTAGCTTGTATAGGTCACGAATGTTATGTGTCTCTACAGGTACTTTTAGATCACCATGTAGCTGGCCTGATATAAAATTTATTTGTTGCTCTAATTGCTCGCTAGACAACAGGTGCGTATCGATGCGCCCGTGAGTGATGTCAGTAACGGTATCGATAAGTGAGGTTTGTATACGTCTCAGGTTCTCTAGGATGATGTTGGCTGCTAAAGCCGACGACGTTATGTAGAGTCCATTGTGGACGTCATTACGTAATTGAGTTAGCTCTGTTGCTGTTTCTCTTAAATATGTATTTATTAATGAGAATTGTTTGTTCATGATTTGTTCGTTTCGCTGTATTATGTTGTATTCCGCTTCGATAATTGTTGTTTGATTCTTGATGAGTTGTTTAACATGATTTTCGTTGTAGCTAATCTTTTCAATATCTTTAGCATATTGAAGAGCAAAGTTGTCGTCTAAAACACCAAATAGATAGTTCGCTACGGACCCAATACCATTAACTAGGCCTCTTTTTTGGCGTCTGCTGCTATGTAGAAGTCGATTATAGTGCTCAATTTCCGTAAGTTCATGCGCTAGTTGGTTAGCAATACTCATATACTGTGCATTAGATTGGATTGACATGCCTTTTAAATTCAAAGTTAAGCTCTTTAAATGACGAATGTACATCTCCATGTCTTCCAATGCTTGCCAGTAGCTAGTAAGGTTGTAGTACACAACCAATCTCCACTCATCTCGAATGTACTGTATATTCGAAATCGTGTCAAAATACAACGCTCTATTATCTTCTAGTGCTGTCACATTGCTATTAATGTTTTGCTGCATAGATGGAGATATAAACATAGTCAATAAGAGCAATGCTAGAGAGATGAAGTTTGTAAATACGCTACGCTTGCTTCTGCTTGCCCTTTTCTCATTGTTTGAAGATACTTGGGGTTGCTGATCGCTTGGCTTCGTTGTAGTGGTATCATCGTTAGTTTTTTCGACGGGAAGGGGGATGAGCTTTGTTACAGGACGTTTAAGGACGTTGTTCTCGGTTTTTATAGATACAACTCTGACGTATCCATCTTTTCCAGGGTGTAATTCTTGGACTCTGCCAAGTGCCCACTTTCCTGGAGCTAAATTTTCGTCTTTTATAATAACGATATCGTCAATTTCGAAGTTTTTAGTAGGGCTGGTCCATTTAGACCGGGCCTGAAGATGCTGAAGATAATCGGACGACCAAAGCTTCCAGAATTGCTTATTCATGATCTGCACCAGTTGCCATCGTGCAGGTAAGCTAACGTTATCTGGATCAGTCTGAGGTCTTGATAGTAAGGAGTCACCTATGAGAAAGTGACCAGGTGTTAAATACGTGTCCTCTGGGTTCTCTGTTAAAGGAAACAAAGGACGCGAGTTCAAGCAGGCTTCGATTTGCTGAATTAGAGTAGTCATCTCCTCGTATGTAAGTTTCTGCTCACCTAGGACTCGTTTTAGGTGCCTTTTAAAGCTTTTTACGGCGGCTTCCCATAAACCACCTGCGCTTGGCCATGCTGGTGCATTGAACGACCACTCAATGTTCATGTGATTGATGCTATTAAAGAAATCTGTATTCAAGGTACGTAAGATTTCTTTATACTCTTTATCTATCGCTCGCTTCGCTCCGACAAAATTTGTACCGTTATCACTGTACATGCGGCAGGGAGTCCCTCGCCGTGCACAGAAACGGCGGAACGCTGCTAAAAACGCTGGAGTACTAAGGTCTGACACCAATTCTAGGTGAACAGCCTTTGTCGCTAGGCAGATAAATACAGCTACATATCCCTTGTACGTCTTTGCTCCCCTGCCCCTGCTTAGCTTCAAGTCCACGTGACCGGTAAAATCTACACCGGTGTGTGCGAAGGGGCGGGAGGGGGTAACTCTCGCTCGAGGAAGATCAGCCATTATTTGATGGTGTTTTTCTGAACTGAAGCGTCGACATGGAATGCACTGTCTCAGCTGTCGTTTGACTGTTCTCATGCCGCTTAAAATCCAATAGTTTTCTCTTATGTAGGACAAGGTCAACCGTGGAGCACCATGTAAGGTAGTGATGTGCGCTTGGTTGATAACTAGGTCACTTAAACGACAGTGACTAGATAGTATTATTGGATGTTTGGCTGCGCTGCTGACGTTTGAGTTACTGAGGCGTCCTCCCACTCTCAAAATTCCGTCTTTATCTAAAAAAGGACTCAAGGTCGCTATTTTGCTGTTTGATCGAACATGGCCGTTGCTTCTTATGCTTTCTAAATCANCGACAGTGGCTAGATAGTATTATTGGATGTTTGGCTGCGCTGCTGACGTTTGAGTTACTGAGGCGTCCTCCCACTCTCAAAATTCCGTCTTTATCTAAAAAGGGATTCAAAGTCAAAGTCAAAATTTCTTTATTTGTTTGGACTAATAAATAGTTCTTACAAATCGTCATTTTGCTCTTAAGGAGCCTCTACATGTCTCATAATCTTTTTACCCTACCAGCGCTTCGAGACCAACATTTGGCAAGTGCTGAGAAGAAGCGCCGCAACAAACTCAGTCACCACTGTCTGCCGGTTAATATATATTCAAGGTCGCTATTTTGCTGTTTGATCGAACATGGCCGTTGCTTCTTATGCTTTCTAGATCGCTTTCAAAGTCTTGAGCTTGTGTATTTTTAATTATTAATAGATACGCTTTGTTTATTTCGTCAGCTGATAGGTAAGTTTCACGTTCTATAGCCTTGTGACGAAGTGCAGCGGCGAAACGTGATACCCATGCCACTATCTTTACGGCACGAGTGATGGAGCTATTGTTTATTAACAATTCATTTATGAATGATGAATTTGATTCTTGTAAAGCTACGTTCACACTGACCTTTTTTGTTTCCAGATTTGGCGCTTCATAAGTATTATTTTTTGTGTTATTTGGGTCGAAATTAAGCAACCATTCTGGGCCTTGCCACCAGAGGGAGCTACTCTGTAGTTTGGAGACGGATGATCCACGGGTGGCGCAGTCAGCTGCGTTCTCCTCAGACTTAACGTGGTTCCAATTCGAAGCTGGAATTACATCAACAATTTGCCGAACTCGATTTGCAATAAACTGTTTCCATCGAGCGGCGTCACCATGTATCCACCCCAGTACGACCATGGAGTCAGTCCAGGCGTATACATGACAAGTTGTGTTCGCTAATGACGCTTTAATCAATTTTATTAATTGAGTAAGAAGTAGGGCTCCACAGAGTTCTAATCGTGGCAGGGAGACCTTTTTTAGTGGCGCTAATTTAGTTTTCGCTGCAACAAGTTGCGATGTGAGCTCGCCTTTGCTGTCACGTGCTACTAAGTAAACAACGCAGGCGTATGCCTTCTCTGACGCGTCGCTGTAGCCGTGTAATTGGAACGTTTGTTGTGTGTCTCCTAAATATCTAGGTATCTTGAACTGACTTACTTTTTGAAGGTCGCTTTGAAGTTCAGTCCACTCGCTTTGAATTAGTTCAGGAACTTCGTCGTCCCAGCCTAATCCTGCTGACCAAGTTTTTTGAAAAAGTATTTTAGCTCGTATTGTCAGCGGTGAGAGCCAGCCCAATGGGTCGAACAGTTTTGATATCTGTGAAAGTAGCTGTCGTTTCGTGTTACATTTGCTAGAAAGTTCTGTTTTGTTTGTAAATATAAATGAGTCAGACGACGGTGTCCATTGAAGCCCTAAGGTTTTTCGGGATTCCGAACACCTAAAGTCAAAGGGCTTGTCGAGCTGTTCTGTAGATAAATCTTTTAAAAGCTCAGGGTTATTGGCTGACCATTTTCTTAGATTCATCCCCGCGCCTTTGAGGATGTTGATTAACTGAGTCTGTAACTCTTTAGTCGCTGCTAGTGTATTTTGTCCGCTGAGTAGGTCATCCATATAGAAGCTTTTTTCTAACGCTGAGGCTGCAAGGGGGTACCTTGACATGTCATCTTTAGCTAGCTGTCTCAGGGTGCGCATTGCTAGGTATGGAGCAGCCTTAGTGCCATAAGTTACGGTTGTAAGAACGTACTCCTGTAGCGACTCCTGAGGTGAATCTCGCCAAACGATTGATTGAAGATGTTGATGGTCTTCTCTGACCATAATCTGACGGAACATCTTCTCTATGTCCGCAGTAATGACGTATTTGTACTGTCTCCAAGTCAATATTAATGTTTGTAGGTCATGCTGCAAGTTCGGACCACATTCCATTACGTCATTGAGGCTGAGTCCAGTACTTGTTTTAGAAGAGGCGTTAAAGACCACACGAAGCTTTGTAGTGGTGGAATCGTGTTTCATGACGCCATGGTGTGGTAAGAAACACGAAGGACTGCGGTTCTCTCCACTCGGCCGCATATGTCCCAGCTGTTGGTATTCGTTAACAAATTGCTTGTAGCTTTCTGAATATGCTTTATTTTTACTCATTTTGCTTTCTAACTGCTTGAATTGGGCTGTTGCTTTGGCTTTAGATGCGCCAAGCTTTTCGTTATAGCTTTCTTTCATAGGCAACGCTACTTCATATCTACCATCTGCTAGACGCTTAGTAGTGGCAATGTAATGCTCTTCGCAAAACTGCTCTTCGCTTGTAAGCTCTGATGCTGCGCTAGGAATCTCTTCCATCTCCCAATATTTCTCTATCTCCGCTAAGTTATTTATAACTACGCTGCAATTGAAAGTTTTTACGTTTCCCGATAAAATCCAACCTAATTTGGTTTGCTGCGCTATTGGTGCGTTGTGTTCACCTTTAACTAGTCCGCTCATGATGACGTCAGAGTAAACACATGCGTCTAATAATATGTCAATTGGTTTCGAAACGTTGTATTCGGGATCTGCTAGCTGCATATGTTGGATGTGAGGCCATGATCGCCTTGAAAATGAGATGTTTGGTAGATCGCTAATCACTCGAGAAATGACAGATGCCTCTGTATTGAAGCTGTGATCGTCGTAGATGGACTTGCATTCGAGGGTCACAAGGCTTTTGCTTTGTTTAGGGCTGTTACCTACACCAGAGACCGATGCGCTAAATTTACGGCGTGGTAACCCTAGAAGCTGAGCGGCGTTTTCAGATATAAGTGTAATCTGCGAACCCTGGTCAAGAAGAGCTCGCAGCGTGACGTAATTACCATCAATGGCTTTAACCTGCAGTAAGACTGTCGCTAATAAAACCTCTTCATCGCTGGCAGTAACGTGATTGGCAGCGTAGGGTTTGTTAAGTGATTTAGATATAGGCGGTGTTGCTATGGCAGATTTCGCCTTTAAATCGGTTGTAGGCATCGAGGTTGAGTGCGATGACCCGATGAATGCGTCATGTAGAATCGTATGATGTTCGCTATTGCCACGGTAATACTATCTATACAGTATTCCAACTCGGCCATATTTTTGAAATAAATGTCAACAGACGCGCGGTACGTCACTGTATGACAACATGCTATAGGGCTGCCCACCTGCAGATCCTTTTTTCATTACATCTGCCAACTTAGAATTTCTATCTAGTTTTGTGAATGTATTTTGTGATTGTATTTTTATTTTATTTTGACAAACAAAATACCTACTTTGTGAATAAAATAGGATAAAATGCATAATTGTTTTGTGATTAGTAGATTTAATAGGAGCGTTTTACCTGAAATAAAACGCTTATTAAATACTTACCTTATTTGAAGCTTACTTGTTTGAGATAGGCCCCTTCCTGTTTTCCGCTTTTATGTCCCTTTCTTTCTATCTTATATCTTGTATCTCTCTCGCACACCTACCACTTCCGGTAACCAGGCAGGCGAGCCGACAAGTTTGGTCGGCGGCGATCGCTCGTCATTGAGTCGGAAAACACCAGGCAGAAGATTAAAATGTAAGCTTCAAATAAGGTAAGTATTTAATAAGCGTTTTATTTCAGGTAAAACGCTCCTATTAAATCCTTGACCGTTATTTGAAGCTTACTTGTTTGAGACGTGTTTGTTATCGCCTGGTGGAAGTGGACGCCAATGTGATCTTATGATGTAACTATGAGTATGGTAGGTGTGTAATATATCGTTAGGACCTCAAAGAAAATTAGGTATGAACTTTTATAAAATAAAAAGGGNCATGCGTCTAATAATATGTCAATTGGTTTCGAAACGTTGTATTCGGGATCTGCTAGCTGCATATGTTGGATGTGAGGCCATGATCGCCTTGAAAATGAAATGTTTGGTAGATCGCTAATCACTCGAGAAATGACAGATGCCTCTGTATTGAAGCTGTGATCGTCGTAGATGGACTTGCATTCGAGGGTCACAAGGCTTTTGCTTTGTTTAGGGCTGTTACCGATTACCTACGCCAGAGACCGATGCGCTAAATTTACGGCGTGGTAACCCTAGAAGCTGAGCGGCGTTTTCAGATATAAGTGTAATCTGCGAACCCTGGTCAAGAAGAGCTCGCAGCGTGACGTAATTACCATCAATGGCTTTAACACTGCAGTACACGCGCCCCTTTTTTTTACACGAATACACGCGCGGCCTACTCTGGTAAGCCAATTTAAAATCACTGTAAATAAGTTTATAAGCAATTTATGAATAGAATTACTATGTAAATGATAAAAGTGTTTATTATACTTATTTTATAATCAAAGTTTTTTTATATAACTATTTGGGATCAAACATTATAAACAGATTTAAAAGTTGTAAATTTTTTGGACCAAAATTGCACTTTGAGACCAATGTTAACAAAAAAAAATTGACTGTATAAATATGATTAGTTTTTTATCTGTCATAGTATTCATGACTTTCTACTGCCTGGTACACGGTGTAAATCCATTTGTTACAAGTCTTTCATAATTTTTTTGTCGAGTGATTTCGGGCTTTTGACTAGACCCGCAGTTTTGACGGCCAATTATAGAAAAGTGCGCAGACTCTAGCGACCCAAGCTTTACTGGCTTACTGACAAATTTAGTAAACGAGGCTTTCCTGGAATACCAGCTCTCTGGCGCAAGTTTTCAAAAAGTTATAGCGTAAAATGTTACCCTGGTCTACTATAGTAGTCCGCGCGTGTACTCTAGTGTTAACCTGCAGTAAGACAGTCGCTAATAAAACCTCTTCATCGCTGGCAGTAACGTGATTGGCAGCGTAGGGTTTGTTAAGTGATTTAGATATAGGCGGTGTTGCTATGGTAGATTTCGCCTTTAAATCGGTTGTAGGCATCGAGGTTGAGTGCGATGACCCGATGAATGCGTCATGTAGAATCGTATGATGTTCGCTATTGCACTCCTTGCACCTTTTGATCGAAGTGCATTTATCGTGTAAGTGTTTGAATAAGCAATTTTGGCAAAGTTTCAGTTTCGTCACTGTCCTCAATTTCATTTCCGCTGTCATATTGTTAAACTTGTTGCATTTATAGAGCTCGTGATCGTAATTACATATAGGACATTTAAACGTAGATGCGATGGCTGCTTGATATCCTTTAGATGCGAACTTACTATTGTATTGTTTCGAGTAATGTTGATTTTTAGGTTGATGATATGCAGGAGCTGGCTTTGTGGAAGCTGTGGAGGCTGTGTTATCTCGTTCTCGCTTGTGCATGGGTTCGAGGGCCATAAACTTGTTCATAAACTCTACTAACGAGGCTAAATCTCTAGGAGACTTACGTGCTTCTTTGTAGTCGCTGTAGGTGTCGCTGTCTAGTTTTTTTGTTAGGAGATGAACTAGTAAAGGGTCCCATGTATTGGTGTCCACGCCCAGGTTATGTATGGCATGGATACACTCCGTAGTGGTGTCATAGAGTCGTTTGATCTCGTATGACGTCTGCTTGCTCACGTTAGGTTGATTCAATAACGTTTCGATTTGAGTTGTAAATAGCACTTGAGGATTATTAAAACGATGTGTCAGAATTTCCCACGCTACGTCGTAGTTTTCAGCTGAAATATTCAAGTGCTGAATTAAACGCTCTGCTTCTCCCATTACTCTACCTTTTAGATGCTGCATTTTCTGTGCTTTTGATAAAAATGTGTTGTTATGTATAGATTCGGTGAATAAGTCGAAAACCTACTTTTTTCGACTTATTCACCGAATCTGCACCACTGCGTGTATTTACCAGTGAATGTAGGTATCTCCAGCAGAGGAGTAGCTTGCTGCACATGCGCTGTAGCATTAAGTTTTTGATACAGTGCTTTTTTAGTTTGTTTGAATATTTTCTCGTATTTGAGGAACTCGTATTGATAGAGCTCATCCTCACCTTCTAGGATGGAGTCTATTTTCAGATGTAGCTTGTCAATGTCCTGCCATCTCGATTGGATGTTTCGCAGTTCATCTTCGATCTCCCACTTATCCGATATTTCACTCACCTGAATGCTCGTTGTTAATCGGTTAAACGCTCGAAAGTTGGTCCTTTGGTAGGACATAAGTTCGTCGATCTTGCTCGGAGAGTCAGTCTTGTCCATTTTCACCTTACCTGAATCTGAACCTGACCTTGACCCTAACGGCTCGTATGCTAAAAGATTCGCTCTTATTTCTGTATAATAGTTTTTCGTTTGCTCGTAGATAGACTCTATAAAGTATCGCTGAGATCTACTCTCGACAGTTTCTAGTTGCTCATTGTTACGATCGAACTCTCCCTNTATTGGTGTCCACGCCCAGGTTATGTATGGCATGGATACACTCCGTAGTGGTGTCATAGAGTCGTTTGATCTCGTATGACGTCTGCTTGCTCACGTTAGGCTGATTTAATAACGTTTCGATTTGCGTTGTAAATAGCACTTGAGGATTATTAAAACGATGTGTCAGAATTTCCCACGCTACGTCGTAGTTTTCAGCTGAAATGTTCAAGTGCTGAATTAAACGCTCTGCTTCTCCCTTTACTCTACCTTTAAGATGCTGCATTTTCTGTGCTTTTGATAAAAATGTGTTGTTATGTATCGATTCGGTGAATAAGTCGAAAAATGTAGGCCACTGCGTGTATTTACCAGTGAATGTTGGTATCTCCAGCAGAGGAGTAGCTTGCTGCACATGCGCTGTAGCATTAAGTTTTTGATACAGTGCTTTTTTAGTTTGTTTGAATATTTTCTCGTATTTGAGGAACTCGTATTGATAGAGCTCATCCTCACCTTCAAGGATGTTGTCTATTTTCAGATGTAGCTTGTCAATGTCCTGCCATCTCGATTGGATGTTTCGCAGTTCATCTTCGATCTCCCACTTATCCGATATTTCACTCACCTGAATGCTCGTTGTTAATCGGTTAAACGCTCGAAAGTTGGTCCTTTGGTAGGACATAAGTTCGTCGATCTTGCTCGGAGAGTCAGTCTTGTCCATTTTCACCTTACCTGAATCTGAACCTGACCCTGACCCTAACGGCTCGTATGCTAAAAGATTCGCTCTTATTTCTGTATAATAGTTTTTCGTTTGCTCGTAGATAGACTCTATAAAGTATCGCTGAGATCTACTCTCGACAGTTTCTAGTTGCTCATTGTTACGATCGAACTCTCCCCATAAGCTATCTAACGATTGTAGACGTAGCTTCAGATACGCTGAGGTTTTACGATGTGCTGGATCCTTTCCGAAGTTGGATCCAATACGCTGAATTTCAGTTACAAGTTCACCTTGACGGCTGAATAACGCTTCGAAGTTCGACATGGTAGTTTTCGATGTGTTAGTAAAATATGAACGATCTTACTTGAATGTTGCTGCAAGACGAGTCTCCCGACTCACGCTATACGCTGGATGACGCTGATGCTGCTGAGTGACAATCCACAGTCACGGAGTTGGCGCTGATGCAGACACGTGGCCGTGCGCAGAATGAGGTCACGTACAAAGTTCACATTGATCGCTAGTTTAGATCAGAACACAGGACTTCACTCGCGTGGGGTCCTGCTTGTTCGTAAGCTCGAAGGACCAAAACTAATGTAGCGGTAGTAAACCACACATTAAGGATTCGCTAAGGGACGCTGAAGGGATTGTGGCTCCGAGGAGAGCTAATAACCAAACCCGACGAGTGTTGAACGTACACTGATTTATTGAATTCACCAATATTGTAACGCATAGTGACGAGCAATGACGTAAAGCTAACTTAGCTAATTTTAAACTAGGTCAAGTAAGAAATGTACAATTTTATGTGCGGTTAGCCCGTACATATACCAAGCTTTTAGCTTACCCAAACCTCAGCGTGTATCAGGCTGTCACGGCATCAGCAGTTCACTATCCTGCCTGAAATTAATGAGTTGCCCAAGGAAGGAGTGATCTAACACAGTAAAACTATTATTAATAAAGAGTAGGTATACCTAAAATTGGATCTTATCCATGAATGCATGCTTGTATGCAACTAATATGTAGAAAAATTACAACTTTTACAACAGACTTTTCACCTTCACTATAGTCGTAATGGTACATAAAAAAAAATATTATTAGTGAATTTTCAGAAGCTGAAAATATGACCGTATTTATTTCTTATTTCACAGTGGTTCGAAGAGCGTTCGACCCGCATCGAAGCGCTAGAGACATGTCTCCGGCGCCTCGCGGGCGCGTGCGAGGGCTTAGCGCACGAGCGCCGCGAGTTAGCGGCTCGCACGCACGAGGCCGCACGCGCCTGCGCCGCGCTGTCCGGCGCCGACCCGCACGCGCCGCTCTCGCGCGCTCTGAGCCACACAGCCGACCTGCACGAGAAGGTACGTCCCTAGCAGCCTTCCCACACAGCACAGAGACACTAGAGACACGAGGCCGCACGCGCCTGCGCCGCGCTGTCCGGCGCCGACCCGCACGCGCCGCTCTCGCGCGCTCTGAGCCACACAGCCGACCTGCACGAGAAGGTACGTCCCTAGCAGCCTTCCCACACAGCACAGAGACACTAGAGACACGAGGCCGCACGCGCCTGCGCCGCGCTGTCCGGCGCCGACCCGCACGCGCCGCTCTCGCGCGCTCTGAGCCACACAGCCGACCTGCACGAGAAGGTACGTCCCTAGCAGCCTTCCCAAACAACATATAGACACGAGCGCTCGCGCCTGGCTGACCTTATGAGACCTTTTCCCTCTCCCCACTTCACTAGCGTCTGCAATAAGGTTCAAAATGCGCACGCGCTGCTTTCGCGGGCTCTTAATCACACAGCTGACCTACACGAGTAGGTAAGCCCTTGTGAGTAGGCGCTCATAAACCCCTGCGCTGCGTCTGTATCATTTTTAGATCTAAGACAAGACAAGTTAGGTCCTTATAAGCCCCTTCCCCCGCCTCACTATACTAGCGTCTGTTTCTTATACCCGTTTTCACCATCAATCCCTAATTTTTAAGTGACCTCTATGGTAACAAATAACAGGAATTTTGATGTCATATGTGTCACTTAAAAATTTGGGATTGATGGTGAAAACGGGCATTAGTCACACAGCTGTCTTACGCGAGAAGGTAAGCCCTTGTGAGCTCTCTCATACAGCATAATGCCTTTCTTAAAGGTACTAGAGACATGTCGCGACATCTCGCGGGCGCGCACGCGCCTATGTTTCGCGCCGCTGTTGCTTTAGACCACACAGCTGAACTACACAAGACATGTCCTTATCAGCCTCCTAAACAACATAGAGGAGTTTAAAAACTCATTTATTTATGCAAGTAGCCTTTTAAAAAGCTCTTTTACACGTCCTAGTATTAACCCTGCCACTACTTCAGGACAATAAATAGGAAGGCCGAAAAGAAGTGGCGCAAGAAACTCGGTAACGATTATCAGCATCTAAAGACATGCGATTGATGACCTCTGTGAGGAATGTGATAGCTGAGTTTTTGCCTTATTATATCTAATTTTTTTTAATTTACAGGTAGAACAGCTGAGGATGGAGCAATCGAACACAGACTTCTTCGTGCTGACGGAGCACATCAAAGACTACCTCGGGCTCATCAACGCTATCAAAGACGTGTTCCACGAAAGAGTTAAGGCAAGTAACCCATAGAATATAATTTGTTCGCTTATTTTTAAAGCAAAGGTCACAAGCGATGGATACAGTAACAAATATTTGAGATCTTTTAACACTTGATATGCAAACCTGAAAAAAGTCCCCTCCATCACATAACACATCCACAAAAAATAATAACAGCTCTCTTATAGCGGAGTTTTGGGCTGACACTGTATAAGTTTTTGTTGACACGACAAGAAGAAGGTAATAAGTCTTGTCGCTATAGGAAGGAAGTTTTTTTTTATTTCGCGCTTTCTATATTGGCCGCATGTGTACAAGTTGGTACTACAATACAGACTCAAAACACCTCTTATTTCTGGTATTAATTTATTTAAAATATAATACCTTTGTTGTAGGTATTCCAAAACTGGCAACACGCTCAGATGCAGCTGACGAAGCGGAGAGAGAACAAGGCAAAGGCCGAGCTCGCCAACCGCCCCGAGAAGATCGAACAGGCCGCCAACGAGATCATTGATGTAAGCATTCATATTATACCCCCTTTTAATAAAACTTAATCATAGTATTCATATTTGAACCCTGTTTTAAAGTGACATTTAGTATGGAAATCTCACTTTAGAAACAAAGTTCAAGCTTATTCGCTTGAATCTGTCATATAATTTTGTTCACACTAATGCGAATAATGTCAATACTTATTGCCATTATTAAAATCGATTGAAAAATTCAAAAACACTTCGTCGTCATCGTCGAACAACGACGTATCTGCAAAATGTTATCTTGCACAAACACGTCTCTGTACTGCGTTAGAATAATCAAATCTATCTATGTTTTATTCTGTAGCTTCGATAGGATTATGAAGTTTGAAAAATAAAAAAAAATTTATATAAAGGAGTTAGAATAGTTTAATGCCCAAAAACAGATGTTGGCGGATGTAGACATGCGACGTTGTTCGACGAGTGTTTTTAAAGTGACCGCGTGGTAAGTGCCAGGATTAAGAAACGTGTACATTTTCCGGCAACGACACTTTCAGTTGTTTACTGTTTTTAATTGAAGTCTGTCTCTTTGAGCCTAAGCTCAGACCACCGATTTTTGTTGACCGATATTTGTGTCGGGCTGTTAATCATTATGGAGATGTATGAAAGTGCGCACATTACACCGATTTGGTATCAGCCGATTCTTCATAGAAATTAAAGTCGGGCCCAACTATCGGCCAACTAAAAATCGGTGGTCTGCGCCTTGGCTAAATGCCTTCTTTTTTATTGTCAACCTTAGCGTAGCAAATAAAGACTATCAATTTTGTACAGTGGGAGGCGAAAGTGGAGCGCGGCCAGCAAGAATTCGACACGATATCGCGCGTCATCAAGAAAGAGCTGGAGCGCTGGGACGAAGTCCGCCTCGGAGAGCTGCGAGCCACCATCCTCCGCTACCTCGAGGAGCATATGAAGCACCAGGCACAGGTCAGCTTATATACACAGATCAGGCTCTAGTGCATTGGTTCCCAAAGTGGGGGCCGCGCCCCCCAGGGGAGGCGCAAAGACCTCTATAGGCGGCATTTAGCAGCAGCAAAGGAGGCAAGGAGTTGGAGCGCTGGGACGAGCTCCGCCTGCCACCATCCTCCGCTACCTCAAGGAGCATATGAAGCACCAGGCACAGGTCAGCTGCCTCTCTCTAGTGCATTCTTCTTCTTTTCGTGTCGACAACAAACCTACACAGTGTCAGCCCAAAACTCCGCCACAAGAGTGGCGTTGTCAGTAGCACTCATCAAATCCTCCTGAGTGCAGTTGCTTCAGCACTCAGGGCACGACATCAGGTGCTTCAAAGTCTTCTTCGCTAGCTACATAGTGATAGCTTGTCGCAATTACAACAACGTTAACAGCATTAAGTGTTCTGGCAGTTGAAGGTAAGATAGGCAGTTCCTCTGTGGTTGAGGATTCTGGGTGAAGCTCGTTTCCAACTTTGGCCTGATCATCACTTTCCATCAGAAGAAATGCAGGCCAAGAGCTTCTTTATTGTAGACTAAAAAATACAAAACATGATGACGTATTAATCATGGATTTAAGACACTAGTACTAATCAAAGATGTATCTGTTATAAAAATATGTAATAAATAAATATTTTTCATTGCAGTCGATCCGCTACTGGGACGCGTTCCTTCCAGAGGCGCGGGCCATCAAATGAGGCCTGGAGTGACGCGCCAACCACCCACGACCCAAGCCAACACCGTTGTCACAGCATACAGGATACAGTAGGTCCACTCCAAACATCGACTGAAGCTATATTACATCAGCTGGGCTAGGAAGCGCGCGACTTCTTACGCGTTGATCTCGTTTTATTTCCCGTAGAATTTTGCGAAATACCGTCTTAGTGAGCGCCTACGTTCTAAAAGGAACCCTCATTCAAAATTTGAGACTCCTAGCATTTGTAATTTCTGAGATTTCGAGATGAGTGAGTCATTCAGTGACCTTTCGCTTTTATATAGATGCTGTGCTAGGATGCGCGCCCCTTTATCTTATCGTTGATTCTGGACGACAAATGTATGGCCTTATCGATGAAAGTCGATAAAATATCTCGAGGAGACAATAAGATGTAACGGCGCGCATCCTAGACTAGCAGATACCAAATCGAGAGAAATCCGTAAGCTTTGTCCAACCTTAGTTGATGACATTCTATATTACGCTTTATCATGTTCAATCAAACAATTTTTGTAACGAAATAGCAGTTTGAAATATAACTTTAAAAATGCAACAACAAAAAAAACAGTATAAAGTCAATATACCTCACACTAATTTTAACAGTTAAAACCCTCTCGGTTGTCCACAGAACAGTCGATTGGTTCGATTGAGTATTTTAAATAAATGCAAAATCATGAAAAAATAATATTCCTCAGAATACCTCAACAAACAATTTGACGAATGATAAAAATTGAACACGCTGTAGTATCTACCACAGAAAAGTGGAATATTTGAAGCTTCCTCTAAAATCACTGCCATTTTGCATAGAGTCCTAAAGAGCAAGCGACTCTAATAATATTCGTAAATTAGTATCAACTGAGTTAATCCTTTAACTGGTATAGAGAAAACTCTTTTTCATTGTTTTGAACCTTATTAAATTCTCACTAAAGTTCAAAATATGGTGGCATTAATTATCCCAACGCCAGTTAAAGCCTAAAACGCTTCGCTATGACCCCAAGCTACAAAAAAAATAGATGTATGCGACTTTATCGAATCGAAATGTTTCAAAAGTTCTATAGGCACTATACACAAACATCTATACTCGAGATGCAAGCAGTCTATAAACGCCTAGCAATAAGGCGTAGTTTTTGTAAATAGGAAATGTGCGTGCATGATTATTTAAATATCTTTGCGAGTTGAAAAACAAATCAGATAAAATTTATGACGTCACATTAAAAGTCAGTTTTCAGCAAGGTAACATAAAATATTTTGAACGCACATTTCCTATTAAACCTACTTTCACTTCTTATACTGTGACAATGATGTCGTTTCCCCTGGCAACACTGGCACTCTTTGCGGACAACCTTAGTTTTGGCTATTAAAGGATTTCAAATACTTGCATAGTTTTGAATCAACTTTTATGTTGAACGATGAAATCATTAATTGAGATAAAAACAATCAATCATAAGTGCGTAATAATGACTGATAACGGTAGAAATTTTCATTGACATGAATGACAATTCAAATTATTTAAAAAAAACTCATTTCTTAAATTAGAAATGTAAATACTTTTGTTTTTTGTAAACCCTGTTACACTCTGTCAAAGCTGTTTACGTGACATTGGCGAAATCATGGTTCTCAATACCAAGTCGTTGCCAAAATAAAAGAAGAAGAAGATGTGTAGCCAATTTGTTACAAATGAAACTTACTCAATTCTATGTTACGAAAGTTTTTTTGATACTTTATAATGTACAAAAACATTAAAATGATACACACGTTTTATGAACCTTAAGAAACACAAAATAAGACCCACTTTACTGTGTTGTTTCTCTTAGTTTTAGTCTTGTCTGCCACGAGACTCCAATGATAAGATTGTATGTAAATCACTCGATAATTTATCATATTTTTGAACGGTTAGATAAAACTGTTTAAGCTATGGTATACATACTGATTACTGGAAATCTTTCTAATCACGAGAACTGATTCATAACAACATTATTCTGATTGTTTGTCATACATTTTTGTCACTGTTTCATGAGTAACTTTCAACCTTATGCAAATACAATAGATACTATAATCTTAGATTAATAAATCCTGTAAAGTGAGGCATTTCGAACTAGACCACTGCCTTAACTTTTTCCATACGTTCTGACATTTTATAAAGTCAAACTAAGATGCCATTGGATTTTTGTCTCACTTTAGACGAACCGCTTGTATGAAGATTACCGTCTAGGCCAGGGTTGGTCAACCGGTCGATCGCGAATATTAGTCCAGTCGATCGTGGCAAGGCAAAAATACTATACATGATTGTGTACTAAACTATGCTGTTCCATTTAAGATTTCAAGAAGTATGTAAGTGTTAGATCGCCCAGGGTTTCGTTAGTAAACAGTAGATCTTATGTCTAATCAAGTTAGCCACCCCTGATCTAGGCTTTATTAATTTAGGACTGAGGATTTTTCGTGTCAAATTTTTGGCTACATAGAAATGACAAAACTTTTAAAATGTCATCGTTTAATACACAACTCTGATTCACATTCTTTCTAAAAACAACTTATATCGTTATCTGAATGAACATTACGTTCGTTTTCAACCTTTATCAATACTAAAGATGTCCGCAAAAAAGGTTAGAATTTGTAGGATAAAAATGAAACTAGTAAAGTTAGTCATTGGGGCAACCATATTGCTGTGTCCCTTCGACAAATATTAGTGAAATTTAAAATTTTAAGCCATGTGTTCACTTGATAACAATTGCATTGTGATATGTGCAATCGCCCCTTTACAGGGCTATGAAAATACATATTGCCACCTTATTTTAAACCTTAGTGTCATTATACTAAGGTCGCACAACACTAAAGTATTCATCTGTTGCCAAAAACGTTACAATCAATTGTGATCAAGTAAACACATAAATAAACTTAAGGCTAAAGTTGATAATCAGATGATTTTATATTAATATTAAGGTTTATTAATAAAATTATTACTATCCATACCGCTCCAATGATACAGATTTATGCATTTCATTTTATTAGTTTCATTTACGTAATAATGTTGTAGGTAATAAGAAAACAAGACTCTATTTGCGTATTATTATGTAACAATTTCGTTTGTACTATAAATAAAACTGAACCTGATAGTAGTGTATGGAAGTAACCACATAAAGATACAAACTCCTTAATCAGTTGTAATAGATGCGATTTAAGTTGTCAACACAAACTTATTGCAATTGTAACAAAGATGTGCCAACGTTTTGGCTTCTTTGGACGTCACGAACTTTTTGACGCTGACTGCTGTACATAGGGAGAAAACTATCCGAAATAGATACTGAGGTCTAAATATCGTGGCCAAATCAAGAAAGGAATATAACAACTAATAGAATGTAATATCAGGGAAATATATAAAATATCGGGGTAACAAAAACCATACAATTTTGCTATCATTTGATGATGTTGCTTAAACAAAATAATAAATACTTTATCTACATAGTAGACACATTAAGATTAGATCATATTACGCGAATTTTGTGTTTACGATAACAATAAATTAACGTTTATGAGATTAAAGTCCCTCCTTCCCATTTTAATTAAATCGGTTTTTTTTTATTTGTGACTGTAGTTTTGATCACACTTCACTTAAACATTATTAAATAAATACCTACACAATACTTCCAATATTAAATTCAATTTGTACGTTGTTTCTTAAAAAAAAGAAAGCATAAAAAATACTTGAAATTGAATGTCACCAGTTAGAAAAATCTCTTTGCACTACCTACCGTTATGTTATTTTCTATATGCTTTCTATTAGAGGGTAATTGTGCTTTGTGGGAGGGGCTTAGAGTGGGCGTCTGATTGGCTAAACACTATCCCCAACATATTGTATTTCGTTCGATCCTTAGGCATATTTTCGTTTCTCCTTGAACAAAGATTTGATAACCACAAATTATTTTACAATCCGAACCCGGGATCTTTGAGTTTGAGACAAATGCCCTAACACCAAAGCTATTTTTTTTTTTCAGTACAAAACTATTTAGCTTGCTTTAAATCTTTCGTTCAAGGAAAAATTAAATTAATAACTGCCTCAGGCGCTGTAAATCTGTGTAAAGCTTACAATAATTTACTCTCTTATTATAATATTATGACAAACAAAAACACGTTCTTATAATAATTATTTTGTTTTTGTTTTAACGAGGACAAAGTTGCTAAGAATAAGTTATGTATAGCAGTTATGGAGGGGTTTAATATACACACGATTGAGTCTTTTTGTTCGACACTAATCTGTTTATCGTGAATTTGTTTTAAACCAACTGAGTACTGGAGATTTTCTTTAATAAGTTTTTAAAAAAAACCTAAGCTACGGATCTAGATTTCTGAACCAACAGGATTCAATCGTATTAGAAGATTTAATTTTTCAATTTCGTCTTATGTTTAATAATGTTAAGGTTATCCAGATTTTGTTATCACTATGTATATTTTTATAGTCATTTGTTTTTATCTTAAATGTAAGAGATTTAGGTATCGCATATTAGAAATTGTATTCCAAAAGAATGATTATTGTGTAATGTTGCAGGCAAAATGTTAGATCGGGCAATATTATTATCTTCTATATTACCTACTTTTTACATTCCAAATGTCTTATTTTGGAACGACACTCAAACCGCGATTCAAACTGAAGTACCTATTTATTAAAAAAATTGGAGCCAGTGATTGGTTTAATTTCAATATTTGGAAAAATCACAGGTTTAAATCTATTTTGTTTGAGTACTTATACTTATTGTTGTTTCATAATCAATCATTATAATATCTTTTTTATCATAAATACGTTAATATCATGGAAATAACAATTTATAATCCGTTCTTATCCAAATTAGCTTTGTTTTTCCAACTGCGGTAATTCCTGTTAGTCGTGTTTTTTCATTATTTCGTCCTTATTTAATATTGTGACTGCAACATGATATTTACTAGATATGAATATTAGGTAGTACGATTGAAAAATCTCGAGTCTAATGTATTCCTTATTTTTTATATTGCCAAATATATTTAGCAGTAATTTGGTGTAATGGAAGAGAAGAATTATATAAATATATAATGTTTGTTTCCAATTCAACATTATTGTTTTTTTATTTAATTATCCGAGACTTATAACTTTAAAAATGAAATAAATATATTTATGAGTTTAAGAAATGTGTCGATATTGATTGCGAATTATCACAAAGATGTGCTTAAATAAGCACAAAGTTCGTTGTACCCGATGACCTCTTCTACAAGATAAGGTAGATGCAGTGTCTTTGGACACTGGCGTCCAATTGTAAGGCAACTTGTTGAAATACTGAGAAATAAACGCTAAAATTCATTTGAGTCACTGCTCATTAACAAAATCCGCGAAACAAATTCTACAGAATGAAATATACGTGGACAAATCAAGGCGAGTTGATTACTTTTATCACGGATAATAAGGGCCAGCTCTGATAGTGGGTGATTGCTATATAAAGATGCGCTGTGATACTGAATCTTGACTTTGTTGTGTGCAATAAAAGTTACAGGTAAGATGCTAGCGTATTTTTGTTTACATACATTAATTTTATTAGTTTTTACTGGTAGCTTCTCGTATATCGCCTCCGACCTAAATGTCGTCGTGGGTTCGATTCCCACCTTAGGCAGTTCGACTTTTTCAAGTTATTTTAAAAATTGATGGTATTGTTGTGTAGTAAATAACAAATATTTCTAGATCCTCTTTAAAAAATAGATTTGCTTGTGTTATTTGTAGATTGTAAAAGAGAGATTACACACGTAAGTGTATACTTATGTAGATAGGATCTACAGACATGTTGTGAAAAGCACTTAGTAATCGAGCGTCCTCCACTCTAGTCATTGCGCATTATTTACACTATAATAATCGATAATTCAGCTGACTAACTCAAACGATACTACTCATTGGAATGATCTCATAATCGACACCTTTCCTTTCCAGAAATGAAGTTCTTACTCGCATTCGCTTTCGTGGCCGTGGCCTCGGCCATCCCGATGCCGGCACCAGAATCCGTCCAACTGCCCGCGGCTGACCAGCCGGAGATCATGGAGGCACCAGGCTTCTTCAAGCCTAACATCGAGCCTGTCTTCATCGCCCCCGAAGTGGCGGCCGAATTCTACAAGAGCTTCGAAGTCAACCCTCCCATGGAATACGTGCATGAGCTAGCTTATGAAGAACCTCAACCAGTCAACTTTGTTGATGTCGCCGAGAACGCGGAAAGCTTTGTTCCTGTTGGAGACGTCCTACCTATCGTCTTCATGGACTCCGCCATTCCGCCACGTCAACTCCGTGCGCCTCTCTCCGAAGTGGCTGAAGTAGCCGAAGAAATTGTACCTGTACCCGTGAACTTCGTCGATGAAACGGAATCTGTTGCTGCTGAAGAAATTGCACCTGTACCCGTGAACTTCGTCGAGGAGGAATCTGTTGCTGCTGAAGAAATCGCACCTGTACCCGTGAACTTCGTCGAGGAGGAATCTGTAGCTGCTGAAGAGATCGCACCTGTACCCGTGACCTTCGTCGATGACGCGGAATCTGTCGCTGCTGAAGAAATTGCACCTGTACCCGTGAACTTCGTTGACGACGCCGAGTCTGTAGCTGCTGAAGAAATCGCGCCTGTACCCGTGAACTTCGTCGATGAAACGGAATCGGTTGCTGCCGAAGAAATTGCACCTGTACCCGTGAACTTCGTCGATGACGCGGAATCGGTTGCTGCCGAAAAAGTCGCACCTGTACCTGCTAACTTAATCGCTGAGGAATCTGTTGCTGCTGAAGAAATCGTCCCATCGCCAGTCAACTTCGTCAACAACGCCGAAAACGCTGAAGTCAAGCCTGTCGAGGAATCCGCTGTCGCTGCTGAAATCCAGCCTGAACCCATCCGCTTCGTCGACGCTCCTCTGTACGATATCGACCAAGATATTGCGTCTATGTTGCGTTAAGTACAACAAAATTAAATGCTGAAAATAGATATGTCATTGGCTGTTTATAATAAAAAAAATAAAAAGATTTGATCTAGTCTGATAAATCATTGTATACTTTACTTGTATGTATAAGCTTAAACTATTAATAAACTATTAGCTTCTTGAATATACTAATATTTGCTAAGTGAAACAATTTTTTAACATCATTGAGACAATAATTTCATATCTATAAATTAGCATCAACATTTTAATAAATAAAATGTTGCCATTCTTGACGTTTCCAGAAAAGCTAAACAATAAGAATAAAGAAAACAAAAACAATGAATCTTTCTACATTTATTATCTAAAACTTAACTAATTCAATTTTACAATAAGTACATATACATTTATTTAACAATATAATCCTGTGGGTAGTCCATGACTTTGGGATATTTCTGCACCTCTTCTTCAGGTATATGGTCTAATCTAGTGGGCACTACACGCAATTGACGGATCTGATTTGTTACGTTTTGCATGACGTCTTGGGGAACATCCTCACCAGGGTAGATAAACAACCGTTCCATTGTGTGTCTTCTCTGGAGATTACCTTTCATTGCTCTGTACACAGCTTTCCTGATGATCTGAAAATATAAGTAGAATTAAAGATAATTTAGCACAAGTCTGAATAGTCCTTAGATGAAGTATTTAAAATTCATTGATTTGATCCTTTCTTAGAAGTTACAGAACATCCTTAGCTTAATAGCTATTAAATATTATAATTTTGAAGCTTTTCATAATAGAAATTCACACTGTAAATAATTCATAATAGAAATTCACACTGTAAATAATTATTAGTGTGAATTTCTATTATGAAAAGCTTCAAAATTATTCTGTATTATGATGTTAATCCGTTGAACGGATTGTATGGATACTTTGTAAAGCAGAAAAGTTCAATTCAAACCTTGCTTAACAATGTGTCTACTAGACTGCAAAAGACCTCACTAGCTAATAAGTTTCGAATACAACATTTATTATTTGTGTACTAACCATAGTAGGGTCTTTATTATGTAGCTCCCATGCGAGCGTCCACGTAGCACCTCCAGGGTATCCCGTGTGGTGGAAGTAAGCCCGCTTACGCCACTCGTCACCGCGGAGAGCGATTTCACGACTATTTATGCAGACTACAACATCGCCGCAATCGTTCGTGGGATGGTATATGGGCTTGTGCAAACCCATCAGGAATTTCTTAATTACTTGAGCCGAATCATAGGGATCTTGCCATTTACAGTCGAAGACGTGCCAGGTTCGTGTGAAGGCGGCCCATTGCTGAAATAAATCAAGAAAAATATTACGAGTTTGAATGGAACATGTAATTTATTTTATAAACCATAGTGCGCCAACAAAAGTATGTCAATTGATAACTTACCTGGACCCTTTTAAATGCAGACATTTATCTTTATTTATTATTAACTCAAATAATTAAAATACAACAAAATAATGCAGAATTTGAGGTTAGGTCGATTGACATATCATGCGTGACAGATGTCAATCTAACAGCTGACATTTCTTGTTACGACTTACGTTCAGAAATTTGCATTGCGTAAATTGCGTTCCTAATTAAGTGGCACAAAAAGTTCGTCCACTCCACTGCTGGCTGAGGACTGTGTGAGGACTTTATTTCATTTTGTGTTCTTCTAATGTGCAGTCGCCAGTAGACACATCAGACTCAGTACAGTTGTGCCTATCATCATCTAGGTCAGTGGTTCTTAACCTTTAAGATATGAGGGACCATTTTACAAAATGTATGTCTTGTCAGGGACCATCTCATAATCATAATCGGTCAAAAGTAAACCAGTTTGACTGCAAAAATCAGTTAAGTGGTTTTGACCAAGGTGTGCAAGTGCACTTCGTGGACCACTTGGAATGCCCCCAGGGACCACCAGTGGACCGCGGACCACCGGTTAAGAACCACTGATCTAGGTAAAGAAAATCCTAGGTTTTATTTGGTGGCTCGATGTCGATGACCGTCTCGTCATCGCATTGATCATTTCCTAGCCAGTTGAGATTATTACCATCCCGAAATTTAGCACTCTTCCATATCATATACCAACACATACATAGATCACATTAAAAAGACCAAATAAAATCAATATTTATTTATTCATTTATCATTAGTATATCAATACATATTTATACTGAAGTACATAACATTATGTACACGAGAAAAACGATTTGTGTCATACAAATTAGCTAGTCTATCAGTCTAAATGCAGGTCTTTTCGGACGGTGTAGGCAGAGACATGCATCATGTAGGGTTCGTTTTTGAGGAAGTTGTCAATGGCCCGGGGGCGGACCTCTTCCCACGCGTAGAGGTCGCGGTAGATTGGCCGCACGTACTTCATGCGGCCTTGGTGGTTGACGAAGTCGAATGCGTCGGTGATGCGGTCTTCGTCTCTACTCCTGATGCATAGTCGGAGCCATCTGAAAAAAGGATGAAACCATCGTCAAATATTTGTCAGTACCAAGACATTGAACAACTGCTCGAGTTTTGTTAAATTGAAATGTTATGTACGCAAATATGGTGGAAAATTATCAGAAAAATATGCCGACTCAATGTGATTGACATTAGAAAAGTCCATGTGTTCAAAAATGTATCCTGTCCTGTTATTGCAGATTATCTATATATATAAAAGAAAGTCGTGTTAGTTACTTCGCTTATAACTCAAGAACGGCTGAACCGATTTAGCTGAAAATTGTCAGGGAGGTAGTTTAGAGCCAGGAGAAGGACATAGGATACTTTTTATTCCGTTCGAAATTAACCCTCCGTGTACGAGGTGACTAAAAGTTACGTCCCGTACCAGGTGGGGTATGACACACCCCAATATACAAAGTGATAAAATTTGCATTCAACATTTTTTTAGGTGGAATTTAATATTTAATATTGATTATTTACGTATGCTAATTAGGTTTAAAAAATTCTCTGAGCTGAAAATATGTATTATAACATTTTTATCATAAAAAAACAAAAAGACACAATTTCCGTTGTTCTTGTAATTTAGGAATCAGTTTCCTATGTATAATTTTTAATTAGTGCCTTTAATTATGACAACCGTTTTTATTTAACAAAGTACAAGTATTTACTTATAATTTAAAAGTAAATTAAAAACTGGAAGGGTATAAATTTGTTTTGATCATCGGTTTTCAATTTACCACAATTCTGATGAAAGAAAATGAGTATGCTCAATGCATAAAATGGGAGCGTAACAATTTTATTTATTTATAAAATATGTTATTCCATTTCAGTAGCCCATAAATTGTATCACCAAGTATAAATTGTAGCCCATAAGTGTATGTTCACATACATCTTCGGATCTCAGTACTAAACTTCCAGATTCGCACTAAAAGTCATCTCATTTGACTAAAAGTGCTTGAAAATTTCAGATACCGTAAAAATCACGAAAAATAATATTTGTATTGAATTTTATTCAATTGACAAAGCTAAAAATATATAAATTACACCAAAATTGTTAGATTTTTTTTAAAACTTTTTAACAACGTCCCGTACCAGGTGGGGTGTGTGACACCCACACGCACTTTAAAGGCATGTAACTCAGTTGGTAGTCACCGCTGGACTGATTTTGCAACGCTGATCGAAGCAGCAGTGTCATAATTCCAGCTACTGAGAATTTCAAATTCAACACTTGCAAATTTTTAAAATTGTGGCTATTTTTAAAGGACTGGGGTGTGTCACACCCCACCTCGTACAGCGAGGGTTAAAAAAAAAAGTCTGCTTATTTATTGCCATTAAGGCGGAACAAAGTTCGCCGGGTCAGCTAGTTACATGATAAATTACTTATTATCATCAGCGGAAGGCATGCAAACAGCAAATTCCTCGTTGTGGATTAAAAAAAAACAGCCAATAGCTGCGAAACGCACGGTTTTCTCCGAAAAAAAAGGGTTAATCATGGACAGACAGGATATAAGTCGTTGTTACCCACCTATAAACAATCTCGGAGTTCTTGCTGCTACTGACTCGGTACTCCGTGCCGAGGGTCCTAAGCTTTTCCAACGGCAGAGCAGGCCGGTCGATCAGCTCCTGAAGAAGGTTGATCATCTGGTGCGGCGTGAAGGAGGTGACGTCATCGTGCGAGATAGTGCTGTTGGGTTGACCGATGCTCGCGACGAGAGCGGTGATGGCTTTCGTCATTGATGTGTCGTATCTGTAATTGGAGTAGATTAGATAGTTTTGTTATTTGTTTTGCGATTTCGCAAGACATGATTTCAGGTTGTTGTCTACACTTACAAACTAATTTACTATTTTGTGTGTATTTTATGTATTACGAGTAGAATTCAATTCTGGACTTTTAAGCGGCAAACCTCAATGGTGTCGGGGTCGGATTGGCCGAATCGAGATGCGAGGAACGCGGGTTCGAACCCTGCCGCCGCTGGACTATTGACCGTAGGGTAATTTATAATTTTTAAATAAGCATATTTAGTTTACCACAGAGGGTTTACTGCGCTTAAAAGAGTAGGTTCCTCTACGATAGTGGAACGGTGCGGTGAGTGTGTATATGTTACGTCAAATGACAGCGATACAAATATTCATATACTTAGGGTGGGTTGCACCATCTTACTTTAACTTTGACAAACGTCAAAAATCTGTCAAACTCCATACAAAAAGCACCGGTTATCGTTAAAGTTACGGTCAAAGTTAGGTGGTGCAACTCAGCCTTAAACTCACGCAGGTATAATCGGGGGCATGCCGGCAGAATGCAGCCAGGTGTCCCAGTCGATGCTCTTCAAGGCTGCATTATCCTTGAAGTAGTTCAGAAGGTAAGCCTTGAACTGGTCAGTGTCCAGCGACCGCTGCTTGAAGTTGTTCAGATAGGAACGGAGGAAGTCGTCAAACACCTCTGAAAGAAGAACAAATAGAATACATGAATGTTACTTGTCTCAAAACAAGTTATATTAGTTACAACATAGCTGTGGTATGAGACAAAATGGTCTACGACAATGATTACAGGAGATCCAATAATTCTGCTACAGTCGAAGTGGTTAGCCTAATAAATTGCAGACATTTTTACAGGATGAATAACAGCTAAAACATTCAAATCTTACCAGAATC